CCTCTCTTATAAAAAGAGGGACATCAAACAACTAATAGAGTAATAGGACTAATAGATGTGCAAGGCGTGAACGATGCGATAAACGATAGACAGACACATGAGTGTGAAAGGCGAAGGGCGAGGTGCGTGATGCGAAGGTGGCGCACGTGAGCGAAGGCAAAAGACTAGCAAGTGAGAGAGACAAAAGAGAGATGAGGCAAGATGAGTGTTAACACCCTAACTAAGGTTGGCTGATGCTAAGGCGAATGTGGACAACTAATGCACGCAACTTTAGATAGTCACTGCAAACAACGAGTAAAATTCCCTAGTATCTAAGGACACAGAGAAAGTGGACAGAAAATTGACCCAGTAGATAAGTAATAGAGGGGTATAAGTAAAATAACTAAGCGGCACTAGGCACACAGGTCCGATGTGTCGAGCTGAACATGCTAAAAATAGTATGTGATGTATGTAACAGGGTCTTGGTTATGCGTGAAGTGCAGAGCAGAGTATTAGTGGTGGAAAACAATTAGACAAAAAGGGAATATGATGGGAAAACACACCAATGAACTTCTAAGGACATGGGATGGACAGACAGACGAGTGCGCGGACATTGCAAGTGTGGATGCGCAAAGTGCATGAGCATGCGAAATCTGCAAAAATAAAACAAGTGCGCTAATGCGCTAGATGTATCCTGTGGATTAGAGCTGGAGTTTGTAGGGAAAGTGGGAGAATTCGGAGGGAAGTGCCTGTGGAGACGCGAGGCTCTACAGCATGCACTTGTCCATCCTGTGTCCTGTCCTTCTGAACTAGGTGCATAGTTACTTGTTTTCATGTTTTCTGACATTTGGACCACATTATTACATGTCCACAGTGCCTTGTTTTTTATTACCTAGATTCTCAGATCCGAAATATTGCTACTATCTTCACCTATAGTATTCCAGATTTCTATGTGCTTACTTAAATACTCTGTAGTGACCTATAGTAATTATCATCCAGTAGTTGGGAGCTATTTCCTGACTCTGTGGATCACTCAGATTATTCTCATAGTTCTTAGTTGACATTGTGAAATATTACTGTTCTTTCACCATCACAATCTGCAATTCATTATACTCACAATACCACTCAAAATCCAACACTTGTTTAGTAGTTTATGACCTATATTCATGAATTCCAAAAGTCCAAAATCTTAGACATCACACTTTGGCATTGGACATCAAATAAGTACCCTCAGACATCATTGGATTACCATCAAACATCGTTTCACAGCCTCAGACCTCCATTATCTGCATTACTGACATATTAATACTACTAACACTATATAGCAACCTCTATAGGATTGAATGCATTTGTCCTACAAGTATAGCAGACTAGGTCATGCAGAATATCTACCTAAATATTGTTGCTTAGATAGCACTACTATTTGCAGAGCCCAGCAAATATATTCTTCCTACAATGTTGAACAGGATGTGAGGAGATGCAGGTGGTTGATAAAGATATATATGCTGAAGATGAATTTTGGTAAGATATTAGAGTTTTGCGAGCTACCAGAGGGGCCTGCCTCCTAGTAGCTAGCTTGTAAATCAGATGTGGCAAGATCCTCAAATAGGCCCTGTATCCAGCTGACTCCTGCTAGAGGCTTTGAGACTAGATTATGGTAAGATGTAGCAGGGAGGCAGGTCTGATCAATTTGCAGGGTTAGTGATGCCCCAGGGTAGTAAGAATTGACGTATAGATCAGGTCTGGGATGGGAGTCATCATTGTGCAGACCAGGCCAAGAATTGGTGTTATAGAGAGGAGAGTTATAGTTTGCTGGAGCAGGCTGCAACTGGTTGTAATTCAACTGTCTGTGTGAAGCAAAAATCCCATGAATCAGCAAGCCAGGATTAATCTGCAAAGACTGAATCATTGAGTTGCTTTAGTAACAACTGATCATCATGATTCACCAGCACTGGATGTATGACTGCATTTTAATGCAATCTGGAAGGCTCAGAATCTTTCAAGGAGAATAGAGTCTGATTGTCCAGAGAGCTTAATATTGTATTGCTTGAGATAAATGTCAAGAATAGATTTCTGTACATAGTATGAGTCAGTTTCAAAGTAAGTCTAAAAATTTAATAGTGAGGTGGCCATGTGGTAATGAATTTTTGAATTAACAAGTTGGTCATGGAAGCCTATCTAGGATAACTTGCAGTCAATAATTGATTCAGACTCAGATCTAGTTATGATTGATATCAGACCTTGAAAGTCATTCAGTTATGTCAGGGACCAGATTGAGAGTAATCTCACAGATGAAATGCACATTCTTTCAAGTCTTCACTGATCCACCAGTTAGTTGTAAAACTGATGATAGAAATGAGATTTCTAGTCTGGAGGTGACTGTCACTGTATCAAAGGGCACTCTTTTAGTCAGACCCAGTGTCATTACTTATGGAACTTACTGTTGGAAGCTTGACTTTTTTAAATTTCAAGTTTAGCTAAGCCTCGACTGTTCAGACTGGTGAGTTGACCATTAACATGACCATATCCCTGACTCCCTTCTAAAAGACCCCTACATAACCTAATCAGTGAATCAATGGACATACATGAAAGTTGTTCAAGAAAATATATTGTAGAGCATCGCAAAAGTCATATGCTAGTCACAATGTCAATGTTTCTATTATTGTGTCTAGGACTTGCATGATACCGCATACATATAATAGATAGAACCCAATGTGTAGTTGACAATAGTTGGCATGCAACATTAAGTTCATGCCTAGGGCAAATTATAATGTACATGATGATAATATGATGAACTTGATATCCAGTTGATAATAGTTGACATGCAATGTGAATCCTGTTGTCTGAGGCCAATCATAATGCATATAATTAAATAGAGAGAACCTGATGTGCAGTTGACAATAGTTGACATGCAATATGCAAGTTTCTCACTAGCACTAGGTGGGCACATCTGAGTTTGGTGTCACTATGTAGTATTGTCACATTAAAGCAACTTTCAAAATGGAAGGTGAGGTTCAAACTCAGAAGTTTGTTTCTGTTAATTATTTCTAGATTGTGCTTACATATAGACAAACTCAAACAAATAAACATCATCACACTCTGCGGTCAGATGGTCAAGTCATCCTATCAAATCATATCAATCTGTTATTGACCATCTCCACATTGCAGTCAGTGCAGATGATATTGAGATTACAGCATATTTTCCAAATGCAATCAAACCTATTACACAGGGTGTGTTATTTTTTGTAGTTTTCAACAGGAGCTCATATCATATTACAGAGGATGATTGTCCAAGATCTTTATGATTTTGCAGCCACTATTTCCCCATCTGTACATAAAACCAAAATGTCCCAAAACAAACCTGACAGTATCCACAAGAAGGTTCCTGGTCAATTACATGGGGAACACTGCCTTGTGAGAGGTTGGCATGCCTTAGGTCAAAAGGTGTGTTTATTTTGTTATGCTGGCATATGGTTTTAACAATTGACTCTCAGGACATTGATAAGTTTGATCCTGATGCAGATACAGTCAAAAACTTCAATGCAGTAATAAAGTTGAAGTTTAAACTTCAACTTTTTTATCGGGTCAATGTCCCGATGAAATCTGTAGACCCTACCTATTATCAAGATGCTCAGGAGCTTAAGAAACATCTCATAGATTTGCATCCTGCTTATGCTTCCCTTACACAAAAAGACATTCTTGTATATGATGGACTGGAGGTACTGTGGAGTGTTTGGTCTCAGATTCACTGTGATCCCCAGGATCCAACATTCTCCTGGGCTGCATTATGTATCTTTATTAATACCTTCACTGGAGGAGAGTTATACATGCCTAATGTGGGGCTGTGGGTGTGCATGCAGCCTGGTGATATTGTTCTCATCAAAGAAAGAGTTGTCCGATACTGTATTGAAGAGTGGACTGGGGAACAACAGATCTCTATTCCAATTTTTACTCATACTAGTGTCTGGAAGATAGTGAAAGAGTTTACTGACTGCCTGCAACCAGATAAAGCCACTGGTGATGATTAATCACTACTAATTGGATAGTACATAGTTCATCATGTATAGTATACTACATCAAAATGTCTTACATGCTATTTCTGTACCATTCATACAATTCCCCAACACTCTGGACTCACAGAATGTGGCTTCCATCAGGAATCCCATCACATGAATAGGTGATAAGTATCTTCAGGTGTCACTGGTGGCATTATGTGTCACATGACTATCTGCCCATTGATTTGATGACATCAAAAGGAATTCCTCAAAGTAAATATTTTAATGTTCTACCTATTCTGAGACTATGTCTTTTTAAGATCTAGAAGATTAGTGGTATAAGCGATGATTGCGAGTCTCTTGGAGAGTTTAGTTTTTGAGAGTGGTGCTGTGCAAAAGGTGTCATGCTTTGAGTTCTACTGCATAATTGGCTAATGCGGTGCCTGAATAGGATCCAGCACAGCTGGATAAGAAAGCAAGGAGGTGAGTAGGTGAAATTGAACAATATTGTTGTTCAGATATGTTGAGGAAGTCACAGTAGACATTAAACACTAAGAGACCTGTGACATATGTTTCTTTGGTAGATTCAGCTCAAGATGAATCCGTGACTTTGAGAATGTGGTTAAGCTGTTCTTCTAGTATACTAATTTATGGAGTATTGGATGTCATGAATGATGAAAAATATAAGGTTCCTCCTGCTGGTAACCATTTGTGGAGCCTTTTGTGTGCTAACCAATGAAGTCTTAATGAGAATGTGAGTAGGTGAGACCTGGTTTATAGTACTGTGGGTAAGATATTGATTGCCAAGATTAGGAAGAGTGGTGAGGGTGCATAAACATATTGCTGCCATATTATAATCTACTTTTGGCTTATTAAAACTCTCATTTAGTTAAATTGCAATGTCATTCTTTGTATTTTTGGTTATATTCGACTAGGAATTCCTTTTAGATTCTAAAGAAAATATAGTCATCAACCTATCTGTCTAAAGAGCCAATGCCTCGATAACAGGAGATTCTGGCTTCTATATTAGCAATGTGCTTATAAGCACCTACAGATACAGATAGTGTGACACCAAAAGCTGTGCATGTATCTATGCAGAACTTGATGTCTAATATGTGTACTAGTGTGAGAGTATCATTTGATAGGTTTTAGCTATATCTCATGTGGCTGCTTTTGAGCCTGTAGGGAGTCTCAAGATGAGTAGATAGATGATGGAAAATTTTCCTCAGGTAATTGGGAAGTCATTAGCATTAATATATGAATTAATAGAAGAGTTTGAGAATTGGAGGTCAAACAAGTAGGGGAAGGAGAAGTTTTGGATTAGTCTAAATTTGCCTAGCTTACTAGGTTTTGGAATTATAGAAAGAGGAGAAGTTTAAAAAGATCAAATAAAATTTATAAGTATATTAAAAAAAAAAAAAAAGTTCTATGTAGCGTGATTTTTGGATTTCTAATTGTTAAATTGGTCTTTGTATATATATGTGGAAGATTTATTAGGAGGGATTTGCATAGTAAGTATGATAGGAAAATTTAAATTTAAACCAAACCAGAAATTTTTAAAAACTTTGGAAAAACACTGTAGAAGGCTAGTGTTCTGAAGTTCTTTGATCCAAATGTCTACTTTATAAGGCATTAAAAGGTTAAGCTTTCTGCACTCTAGGTAAGTGCTGTGAACCATAAGTAACTTTGTTACATTCTGAGCAAATGTGATAGAAGTCATGTCTGAAGCTGTCATATCCCTTTTCTATTATTAACACATCTTTTTTATCACTTGTGAGTTTCTTTTCTTGTTTTTATGACTCTATGACATACTAACTACCATTTCAGGTCAACCTTTCCTCAATATACATCTATTGTGAATGTGTGTCTTTACTAATGAGTTTCTTTTGTTTTTGTGTAGTGCTATGGCATACTAACTATCATTTCAGTTCAACCAATCATGGTTCATACAAAGAACACTGCCAAAATGTCTAACAGTAGCTCAGTGCTGTGCATCCTCCTCAAGATTGCAGCAGCTGGTACCAAGGGTACTATGGAAGGTAGTGATATAGAGAATAAGACCATCTATCATAATGGGGTGCATCTGTTCTTTCTTGCTTTATTTCCTAATTTACATATTGTTTTGTTCCTTCACACAGTTTTGCATCATTTGCAAAAATAATGTAGAGCACTTTGAGGAGAATGTTCTTTTTTTGTGCACTCTGTGTCCCAAAGTTATCTGCAGACTCTGACTGAAGCTGCTGTCTTCCATAGAGGTGTAGGTCCTGGAAGAGGACATCTATTTCAGGTGCATTTGTTGTTATATTAATATGAGGTCGCGCTGAGCAACAAACTGAAATCAAGCAGATGCAGGCTGAACTTGCACGATTGTGTGCAATTATGGGGGTTGCAGTTTCTGAAGGCACAAAAAACTGATATTTGATATCTTCTTGCCACCAATCACTTACACACTTTTTTCATTTTCCTTTTGCATGCTGTATTTTTGCTATCAAATATTGCAACTACTACATATATGTAATGACCATAGTATGATACCTCCCATAGATATATTCGACCTTGGGTCATCCCTCCTGCACAGAAGCTTCCCGCTTACCACTGGCAGAGGAGTGATGCATGATGAAGCTTGATGGAGTAAAGCAAAATTGGTCTAAGTAAATCTAGGGTCATCCAGCGTGATTAAATGGTATCTGTACCATTACCGGATGTCCTTGTAATTCATCATCCTTGGGCACAATATTAACACTATTGTCATGGATGAAGAAAAACTGCAATTAAATGCATCAATGTGTGCTTCTCTGCCTTCTATCATTGTCAGGCTAAATAATGTTGAAACATTGTAGTATATGCACACTCAATGCACCAGTCAAGCAACTTTCCCTTTCTTCCCACTTGACATAATCAGCACCAAGCCAATCAACAAGTTCCACTCATTTGTTAGAGGTGCACATCTCGCTGTGGATGTGATCCAGTATGAGCCTATCATAGAGCGCACAATGTTCCATTTGTGTATCGGCGTGGAGGTGAAACGATGGTGGCCCTCTAGAGCACTTGTCTGCAAGTCATCCAGGTCAGTACCATTTGCCTATAGTTTACTCTACGTCTCTTCATTATTTTCACAGTCATTTGTCCAGATTTGCTCGCCTATCTTGGATCTCCACAGACTCAATACCAGATGCTGTATGTAATCTTCCCATTGTTGATCCACGCTCTCTCTCTGATCCATGATACCCACAGCATCTGACCTTGCAAAATAAGCATCTCTGGAGGCAGTACTGTCAACCTCGAGTGCACTCACTTCAGAACTAGATGTATCCTACTTTACAAGTCTTTTTTAATTGTTTTTTTTTTTTTTTTTTTTTTTTTTTTTCATTTGTTTATAGCTAATAGATAACAATAGGGTTTCTATAATGCTGATGGCCTGCCCTGATTGAACAGGCTCCTGCCTATTGGTAGCATACTTATAGGTCTCCAAGCATGTTGAAATATCGGCTACTCTGGTAATTTTCATTCATTTTATCTTGATTAACTTCCTAGTGGCTGCTAGTCTCTTTCAGTTTGCTCATGACTTCCTCAAGTGTTACTTTACTAACAGTGACATTGAATATATTGAAATCTACTATGACATTGGTACTGACACCAAGCTCATCTCCTATTAGACCAAGGTGTGCCAACTCATCAAAGGTCTGAAGAATTTGTTCATCTGGAAACATGTAGTCATTGGTGTGTGTTAACTCACACTGATGAGAAATATGGAGATATTTTGACTGGATATGAAGATGATGATTTAAAGGACTATGTCAGCACTCTAGTTAATGATATAAGTTTTTTTCTTCTTTTAACATAGCCAATAGTGACTTTAGTTACAGTTCCTAAAGATTATTCTTCATTCCTAGCAGGATATTCTTGACCATGCCCAGGAAATATACCTCTGAATGCTATATTGTGGTGTCATGGTCAACAACTCTAACTTCTTTATTAGCTTGCAAGAAGCTGTTGTTTGGTAAGTTTTTTTGAGCCTTTTTTGATATGCCTTATTTAATGTTTTTTTTTAGTAGACATGTCTTGACTAGTACCATTGTATTCAATGCTCCTCATTTTCAACTGTCCTTTGCCTCTTACTTTCTCATTGCCTTCACTGAGAAGATTCTCATTAATCATTATCCAATTTGGTTAACATTTAAGGATATACTTATGCAATCCTATGATCTGGGGACACTACTCTGACATCTTTCTCCTGACCTCTGTCAAGGAGTGATACACATGTTAGTATCTTTAGGTTTGTATAGGCTCATATGAATTTTTGTCCTTGGAAAAACCACCTCCCTATCTAATACAGTGGCTGTAGATAGGCTAATTCATAGAAGTCCACCTATGTTAAGGGTAACAAGGACAAGACCTACATATTTGAGTGCAAGAATGATACCTGCAATATAAAACACCTGTTCTCTCAGCCACCAGGTTCCACCATGCTTTATTCTGGTAGGAAGCATGGTAGTACTTGGTTAGATATTCCTGTGAAGGCACAGCTGGCTTGATTTATATATATATATATTTCATTTTGTGTTCTACTTTTGCTCATGTCATTATCTTATAAAAGTTTAATTAATGATTTGTTTACTGTTGGAATTTTGGAGTGTGGTGTAGACTATATTGAATTTTTGTATATGTTGGATGTGCTGTAAACATAGATGTCACATGACTGTGTTTGTCACATAATCTAATATTGAGTTTTTCAAGCACATGCACAATAATACATTCTGCAAACCTATATTGACCTGCATTCTTGTTACTTGTCACTGCCTGATATAATGGCCAGCTGGACACTTGTTTTTAGCAATATATTAAATGAACACAAGGATTCCTTTGTGGCAGTCAAAGGAAATTCTGCCATGAGGGCTCACATTCTTGAGGCAATCAAAGATGCTATAGACAGCAGTGAAGCAGCCAAAGACTCTTGTATTATGCTTTCTGAGAGAAATCTGCAGAAGGTGAGCTTTTATAATTGTGTTCTATACTAATCTAATCAATACAGGCTATTTATGCCTATTATTTGAACTTTCTGAAAGATAATAAGGATTGCAAGGCAGAGGAAAAAATTATTGAGAGAGGAACTAAGGATAGATCTGCTTCAGATGCTGTGAGTATAGAGATGGTGAGACAGCGGGACGATGATAAGCCTGAGGATACTAGAATATACAAGACAGAATTCTTTTCTTCAGTTTTGATGTTGTTTAAAAATTATTCAAGGATGAATTTTCAGAATATGACAAGCAGCACAAAGATACCTCCAATCTAAAGTCTATGAGTTAAAGGATAAGATTGGCCCACATGTTGCACCAGGCCATGTCCCCTGAGGTAAAGAAGAAACTTAACCAAGTTGCAGAAAAATAGAACCAAGAAGGACCTCCTGCAGATATTAAGGACAGATATTTTTTCCTAACATTCTATTGGCATACATGCTACATAACTCAATAATATATCAACAAATACTATACTCATAACTAAAAAAAATGATGGAGGACTATAAGGTTGCATGTTATCATTCTTACAGCCTATAATTGGTGTAATGATGGTCCTTGCACTAAGCTCGAAACCAGCATTTTTAACACTAATGTCAAATGCTACTCATTCTGAATCATCCCCAATATGTCTGAATCATTCCTAAACATGTCTAACACATTCCTGGACATGTCTAAGCCTTTCCGCATTGGACCTCATGCACTTTAGCTTTCGACATTTGAACATCACATTGGACATCAGCTTTGCACATTGATGTAGGAAGAATATGTTTGCTGGGCTCAGCAAAAGTAGTACTACCTAAGCAACAATATTTAGGTAGATCTTTAGCACGACCTAGTCTGCTATACTTGCAGAGCAAGTATGTTCAATCCTATAGGGGTTGCTGTTTGATATTAGTTTAGATAGTTAGTTATCAATAAAAGGAAGATAATCCGAAGCTAGATACAACTTGTCTGAAGGGAATCTGTTAAGTCTAAAATTATCGGGGTCAGGTCGGGCATCAGACTATGCATCAGACAGTGAAGGAATGTGTTGGAAGTGTATCAGAATGTCAAGGAAAATGAATGTTGGATTTTTGGAGTGTTTCATAGTAAAAGAGCGGATAGATATTTTGCAATACAATAATGTACTACTAATATCCAATGACTTCCATCCTACTAAGAGGTAGTAAGGAAAAGTAAGTAAATAGTAGGAAGTCTAAGATATTATATAGCAAATATATGGAAATTCAGAGTACCATAGGTGAGAGTAGTGATATTTCAGGCCAAAAATCCTATGTAATAGAACATGTGGTACTACAGACTATGAGAAAATATGTAACAATGCTGTCTACAATGTTTAGCAAGTGAAACTGAGTAACTATGCACCTAGTAGGGATATATACGACTGGATAGGACATAGGGAGGACTTGTCTGATCAAGTCAAGTGTTAGATTGGGATTGGACATGTGTTGGACTGTTGGACTCGGATCAGGATAGTCAGAAGTGTGTCAGACAAATACTATTTGACATGAGTATCAAAAATGGCAGTTCTGAGTCCATCGTCACATCGGACATCACACTTCACATTGGTGTAACAATGGTTGCAGTGCTGGGCTTGGAATTAGCTATTTCAACATATGCATCACATACAATCCCTCAATATCTCCTGTCCTTCTGAAGGTCATACACACTCACCTGAACTGTCCACAGTCAGCTCTTTCATTCACATACTACAGTGACCCATCTCCATATTATATGAGTTGCTCAACACACATAATATCTCATATAAGATGGGCCAGCGGACTATGGGCCAATGTTATGTATATTCTCGATGTTGATGGATGGGCCAGGAGGAATATTATTTCCGATGGTGATGGGAGCAGTTTATTATATATTATATAGACAGATGGACCGAGGTAGTGAGATATTGTATACATAGGTGATCCCAGATACATATCATATAGCCAAATCCCAAAACTTGAAACCCAGTGTGCAACATGCCCATTTTCATTTACATTAAACAAATCATCGAGTACTGAGTGCTGAGGCCCAAAACCTGATGTCTGACACCAAAAGTACAAAGCCCAAAACCCAAAAACATGTATGTAACATTTTCATTTTGCACTCATTGTATAAATCATCAAGTGTCAAAAGCCGAAACTCGAAACCTGGTGTGCAACATGTTCATTTTTCATTTACATTACACAAATAACCAAGTGCCAAGTGCCAAGTGCCAAAACCCGAAGCCTGAGACCCAAAAACATGTATGCAACATGTCCATTTTTCACTCATTGCATAAAACACCAAGTATCAAATGCTGAAACCCAAAACTTGAAACCTGGTGTGCAACATACCCACTTTTCATTTACATTAAACAAATCATTGAGTGCCAAGTGCTGAGGGCTGAAACCCTAAGCCTAAAACCCGAAAACATGTATACAACATATCCATTTTTCCCTCATTGCACAAATCACTGAGTGTCAAGTACCAAAACCTGAAACTTGAGACCCAGTACACAAATCACCGAGTGCCGGGTGCCAAGGCCCAAAACCCGACATCCGAAACCTGAAGCCCGAAACCCAAAAACATGTATGCAACATTTTCATTTTTCACTCATTGCACAAATCACTGAGTGTCAAGTACCAAAACCCAAAACTCGAGACCTGGTGTGCAACATGCCCATTTTCCATTTACATTAAACAAATCATCAAGTGCCTAGTGCCAAGGCCTGAACCCTGACATCCGAAGCCCAAAAACTGAAAACATGTATACAACATACTCATTTTTCACTTATTGCGCCAGTATGTTGTATACATGTTTTCAGTTTTTGGGCTTCAGGTTTTGGGCTTCGGATGTCGGGGTTCAGGCCTTGGCACTAGGCACTTGATGATTTGTTTAATGTAAATGGAAAATGGGCATGTTGCACACCAGGTCTCGAGTTTTGGGTTTTGGTACTTGACACTCGGTGATTTGTGCAATGAGTGAAAAATGAAAATGTTGCATACATGTTTTTGGGTTTCGGGCTTCAGGTTTCGGATGTCGGGTTGTATGCAACATGTCCATTTTTCACTCATTGAACAAATCACCAAGTGTTGAGTGCTGAAACTCAAAACTCGGTGACTACAACTGGACATGAATTCTGTATTTATTTGTATGTATTATCCGTTGATGTAGGGTTCAAATAACTTGGGAATTGTATTGACTACTGAGTGTCAAGACTCAGGACTCACTAGTCAATATAGGAAAATGATAATGAAAAAATGAAAGTTATTATTATGCTTAACTTTCTTAACAAAGGTTGTAGTCTGAGTCTATGTGAGTGTATTGGTAGTCTTTTCTTGTCCATTGGTTATTTTTTGACCAAGATATAAGCTAAAGAAATCCAAGACATCAGCAATAATGAAAAATGAAAGTTGTAGTCCAAGTCTATGTGAGTGTATTGGTGGTCCTACCAAGTGTTGGTACTCAGTGTAGTGATGGTCATGGCGCTAGGCTCAGAACTGTTACAAGAACATCTAGACACTTGGGCCCCTACCATTTTTCTTCCTAATCATCCTCGTATCAGCCCTCGCGTCATACCCTTACCCCGACCTTACCATTGTCATCCTTGTCATCCTCGCATTCCCTTTTGCTCTCTACCTGTCGCTTCAGCAGAGCCAGTACATCTGGCCGGATCCTTTCGCTGACGAAACATACCCATGCTCCGTTCCACCACCTGACTGATCCTGTGGACAGTCCCCTTGCCCTTACCGTCCGGACGGTAACCTATGATATGATGCACGACGCATCCCCTTTGCCCTTTTCCCTTTCTTAATCTCTGACTCAGTGCGCAGTCGCACATGCGACTTATACTTAGATCCGCAGTTGCACGATCGTGCCCCTGCGCGTTTCACTTCTTATTCTGATCTTTGACTCACTTTCTTATCCGCACGTTCAGGATTCACCCGTGTCTCACCTCGAACGTGCCTTCCTGTTATGGTCATACCCTTTACTGATTACTTCTCTTGGTAGTATGAGTTATCACCCACTAATACGCTTCCCTTCCTCTATATAAACTCGCTACCATGTAACATATTCCCTAACTTGAATCTACTTGGTTCTTGACCTCCTACTCTCACCAGAGTGATCCTTTCTGCCTCGCCAGCAGTCTATATTCTATCTTCTTATCTGCTCTTCGCGGATAAGCCTATAGTCTCGATCTTTACTCATCAACTTCGTCGACGAGCAAAGCCCCTGTTAACTAGTCGGACTTCTGTCCTTCTAATTAACAACGATCTTATGATTAACCTTCGGGTGTCGTAAGCCTAGGCTGATATAGCTTATCGTCTCGCACCTGCTTGACATAAGCTACCCGATTTGGACATAGGCGTCAAATCTTACTTGCCGAAGCCTCGCCAAGTAAGACCCCTAACCTTGGGCTAGCCCAAGGACGTCCTCGACCATTGACGACACATGCTCTGTTTGAGCATCGCCAACAGATACCATCCAAGTCGTAACAGGAACCACTGATTTTCATACTTACATCAACATCGGAAACAAATCCGCACACATCCAGTGCACTTCACACAGGTCCAAGCCACTCCACATTGGACCTTCGGACATTGTATCAGCTGATTGCACTTTGCATGCACCCTTACTTACATATAGCTTTACATACTCAGCTCGGTAGTGCTTTGGCTCGGCTTCACTGACAGCACTTAGGCACCATACTTAAGCACTAGCCATAGATATCTTTAGCTTGGTTCCCTTTTCCCAGAGTTGCAGCAAGAATTCATTTTCTGAGCATCAGAATAGCAACTCCCAATAAGCCTACATTGTGGTAGCTATTGGCACTCTATTGCTTCACTCTACACTTATTTATATTGCCTCATATCTCTTTTATTGCTTAAACCACTGATGCATCAACCACATCGTGTGCGCTTTGCTTTCCCATGTGCGCCTCCAATGTGTTCCCATGCGCATGCATGCTTTTCTGTGCTTCACATCAGCCAACTAGTTGCACCTTCCACATGCACTTCTAGACCCTTGCTGCACTTGCTTCCCCTTTAAGATTGAATGCACTTGTCTTGCCAAGTATAGCAGACTAGGTAGTCCATGACCTACAACATTTAGATATCAGTTAGGAGCTTTGTTAGTGCCTTGCTGAGTTGTATTTCCTACAACGCAACTTTGCAGGGTGAATAGGAGTCGCAGATATGGATGCCAGGTTGCACCAGTCAGCAACAGTTTCCTCCTGTGCAGCAGATAATAATTGCTGGCTCTTGTGGGCATGCCGATGAGACTTGTGCACTCCCAAGCATCAATCACTCAGTATCTGGCATGATACCTAGACCAGTTGAGTGAATAATCACATGACAAAACACGACTCACATTCTGTTTTTTTTGCTGCAGCTGCAAGGGATTTATACAACCCATTTGCAATTCCCTGAATTGCAGCCTGAATACATGACTCATACGTCGGGTCTGATGAAGCTCTCAGTTTTCCTCATCTACCACTGCTAGATTTGCGAATGTGGACCAGCCCCATGGTGCTGCATTGCACCAGTCGGTACTTCCAAAGTGAGTGTGTGCAATTTGAAACTCCATCACAGCATGTATTGGCAGGTGACATTTCTGCATGACTTCAGTACTTTCAACTATCTCACTCTGCTTTAATCATGGTCATTCAACCTCATAATGAGTTGTATTAGAGAGAGAATGATACCTATGTTGAGAATTTTGTATTTAAGTAGTTATAAATACAAATTTTGTGAAAGTGCCGACTTCTGTGGGGTGCCAATTGCAGTGGGCTTACTATGTGCTACTTTGCTGAAGACGGTTGTCTGAGTTTGAGACAATTTGTTCCTCTGAACTCAGTTTTAACGATATCATTTTTGGGGTGGGGTTTTTGGTCTGGACTTTTTCTATCACATGTAGCAGTGAATTTTGAGAGCTAGAGTATGTGAAGGAGATTGGGAATTACAAGTTTGAGAGCTAAGTACAGAAGCAAAGGAGAAGTCACATGACTACTAACATTGCAGATGATGTCTCAAGACTTGTGTTGATTGAGAGTGAAATAGAGATCAAAAGTCAGTGACAATGTGAAGAAGAAAGGACCGAGAACCTCAAGTGTGAGGTAGTTGAGGCAAGAAGGCAAAAGTATAGCACAAATCATAAACAGCGAAGAAACTACTGCGGTGCTTGTGCAAAGTGCTTACACTCAGTTGTGCAAGGGCGCAACTCCCCAGGTAAGAGACTTGCAACAGTAAATTTGAGTGATTCTACTCATGACTGAACAATTCTACTTGTAACTATGGTAAAAAGAGTCCATGGATGACTGGATCATGGCTACATGAACATCTGAGAATGATGGTATGACAAAAAGAGAAAGAATGGAGTCTATTTTATGCCAATATTCTAAAAATGCCCGGTACTTCCAATGTCCTTGCACTATCATGACATCTGGTGGGACTCCTCTGAGGAGGAGTTCTGTCACCCCTCCAATTCTAAAACAGTGACCTATGAGTTCTAATAGACCAGATCCTTTCCAGACTTGGCTACATCATGCGAGGAACCATGGTCGAGTCATAGGTGCCCATCCTCCACTGGCTGTCTCAAAAGCAAATAAAGGTGCATGGGGGGAATGGTAGTGTTGGCTGATATATGGTGGTTAAGGGCTGTAACAGGGTTTGTGAAGTCGTCAGTGCAAGACAAGATGATTTTGGTGCCTGCACCAGGTGTTGTTGACCAAGGAATGGAGAAAGACAACTAAGATACACTGTTGGCAGGGGATCTGTGGGTTATCTGAACAGAATGTGCGACATGATGAGCAGGGTTGAAGGAATTTTTAGAGTTGATGATGAGCTCACCAAGTTTGAAATGAAATTAAAATGTGAAGTGACTAAATAATTCTGGCTAACCTGTAGCACAACCAGAAGGCAATGGCAGCAACTGCAAAGACTGAAGTGTCCAAAGTGTTTGAAAGATCAAGATGTTGATATAGCGTGTGCATGTGCTCAAGGGTTACCAGCGGTCTACAAGGATGTTTCGACAACTCTGGAACCAACTTATTGACTCCAGCTGTAGACATACATAGAAGAGCTTGCCTGTACCAAGGTGCACCATGTATGTTGTGCCAAAAATGTAAACTGGAGAGCCAATTCTCTATCATGGTTGCAGCTATTTTACCAGCCCAAGATACGACAAAAAGAGCAAGAAGTTTACCACACGCTGGCATATGGTGTAATTCTGGGATATTTTGGGAGTTGCAAAACTGATGGAATTCGAGTAAACCTGCTCCGTAATTTTCTCATGTTTTTAGTTTGATGGAAGTCAGCAATACATTGAAAAGTTGGACTATATCATTGAGAGCAAAGTCTCTAACAAGCTCTAAGTGGAAGGATTGTGATATGGGCACCGTCCTATGGCACAAACGGTCTCGTACAAGAACATGTGGTCTGAAAAAGGATGGTGTAATTTTGCATTCTTTCTTTGGTTTTCTGGGTTTTGGAGGTTTGCAAATTAAGCAAGATGGGATGGGCCACACCCCAATGCATGAGGGCTTTGTGAGCTCTTCACATAGATGGGTCAAAGCACCTGCATTGTTGGGAAAAGCCGACATTATGGGTCGGGTTGAACTAGACACAAGGCATGATAAAAGGTCATAGCTCTTCAGGGAGCACAATTGGGGTAGGCATGAAGAAAGTGATCTGACCTCGCCATGTGAGATCGCATCAGCCTTATTCCGAGCTGATTCAACATAAGTAAAAACATGAGATATGTTTGAGCACATCAAAATGGCTTTGGAACATTGTATACAGAGGTTGACCTAAAAATTGTGGCTGCAACTACATTGGAATGCTCCAATAGCTCCTTAGTTGTCAGAGTGGGTCAGTACACAGGCATCCTTCCATCCTTGATCAAAGAGAGTTAAGACAGCAAACTCTACTGTGACTGCTTCCAGCCAACCAATGTTTCGACCTTGTCCCTTCCAATTGCTATGGAGGGTCCAAGTGTTCCACATCCCTCCAAGTATCATACCAATACCCCAATTGGTCAATTTGTGAACCCAAAGGTCAGGGTCTTGTGGAGCACCTTTTGAAACCAAATTGTGGGGTACTGGTGCTGATGAGAGAACATTAAACCACCACTTCAGGTTTGAGATGACTGAAGGTGGTGGGTAACAAGAGCTGAAGCAAGTTGGGAAGAATGATATGAATGCACTAAGATTGCATAAGTAAGAACAACCTCTTGGTATAACAAATGTTACATGGGACAAGGTTACATTTATACTCGTGGTTTCTCTCGATGAAATGCATCCCCCAGAAGTGAGATGTGACAAAATGTCTGCAAGCTTGCACAAATACTTTTCATCCAGCTGTGAAAAGACCAAAAGGAAATACATGATCAATGAAAAAATTGCCCTCTACTTTGACAATGAGGAAGCACTTGTGCTTGGGCCAGACAGGAACTGTGCGATATGCTGCCTCAATATCTAGGGTAGCTGCCTGGATACCAGGAGGTGCATTAGCAACCTGTGAAGCTATAATTAGCTAGTGTGAAGGTATAAGGATAAAGCTCGCTGAAGCAGTAAAGCCTTAGGTAAGGCAAATGAAAGAACTGCTGAGACAGTGACACCGAGGTGGTAAATAGAATAAGGTAGAAGGACCTTGTTGAGGTATGCTGAAGCAACAATGCCTAAGTGTATATGAAAGTATGAATGAAGCATCAAAACACACATGCCGAGGCAGCAGGAGTGATAAATACTTACAATGTCTGCTACTTGAGATGCTGTACCCCATTCTGTGAAAAAATTGTCTGAGTCCAAGTGACTGTTGACCAAAAGCCTGTCTTCATTCTTGAAGGAAAGATCCTGTACTACATAGAACTTTCCTAATTCACCTTCTTTTTTTATGATGCCAAGAAAAGAGGACACAAAGTGCCCACCAAGAATGTTGTGAACTTGTGCTTTGATAAAGGGTCCTGACATACGACCAAGTTTAATTTTGTCATTACAATATATGTGGATAACATCAAGATGATCAAGTGCTAATTTATGGTTCTTGGGAGTGTAAGATCTAGTCAGGGACGCAATATCGCCGATTGGGAAACTGTGCTGTAAGTTATAGATGAGGGAAGGATATTTTTCAGTCAGGTTAAACTCTCAAAGGTTGTGCTTGAAGGCCAAGGCAATGTACAGAGTTATGATGTGATGTAGGATCTCAGAAGCATGTCTTTGAGGCGGCTCCATGAGAGGAGTCTCCACACACAGACTGAGCACACATGGACAACATTGCTTGCATGTTTAGTGGCTTGGCAGCATCAATGTTGAAAGAGATGCATATGACCGCTGAACTCGATTTAAGTATGAGTTTGCCTTGCCAGGCACTGATAACAGCATTGTTTTTTGAGGTATGAGCATATGTGCAACTGCTTGCCCTATGGCTGAACCAACCACATATGATGCAAAGGAGCTAGTTGGTGGATACTCTTTTGCCCTTGTGAAAGGGCTTGTTATTACTATCATTCATAGACGAACTTCCTCCTGATGGCATGTACTCAGGCTTCTTGGGGAGGTAAGGTTGAAAATGAGATCCGCTAGAAGACAACAAATGAGTTTTGAGTTTAGTGTTGATCTTGATTTCCTTCCAGTGGTCAAGATAAGCAGGTTTGTCCAGAAAGGTGAGAGTGTTGAAAAACTTTCTTTGTGTCTCAATATCAAATGCGAGAATGGCACAGTAGTTTTCACTAAAGTTGTCCCTTTCTGTGCAAAAGGCACAGTGGTCAATGAATTGTTGCACTAATGGTTGGGTCTGCTACTTGATGCATCAACTTTATGAAATTCCTGAAGGCTTCGCTGAATTGATCTACCAGAAGATTGGTTTCTGGCAGAAATCCAGATGACAAGGTGTCCATGATGCTTAATTTAGGATGGTCAAGGACTAGGCCTTTGGTCATTTTAATGCAGGACAGATCTTGATGAATCTTGTGAAGTGCCAAAAGGGTGAGAACTGTCAAAGGTACATGAATTTTAGCCTTGGTAAGATTGAGAGTGAACTGATGTAACCATAAGCTTTAGCAAGTCTTTTAGCAAGAGAAGATGTAGAGACAGGTGTAACAGGTGGTGTAATGGGTTCTTCTAAGTAGGATTCATCATTGTCAGGAACTTCGACAAAGTCTGGATCAGCCCTTTGTTGGGCCCTGAGAAGGTTACACTCAGAACACCGAAGGTTCTCAGCTGTAATAGCTTCCCAGCCATTGAAGTCAATAACCTTCTGTATTTGACCCAGAGTGTTAGCTAGGTCATCAACCTCATCGTCTATCATATCCCTATCATTGTCAGAGTTCAGGTGGCTCATATCTTTACCTCCTGCTCCTTGAGGGGCAGCAGAATGTGTAGCCCCAGACATATCATTAATGAAGCTATAAAAATAAAGACAGGAGGGTTTGATGCACCTGAATTCTCACTTGAAAAAAAACCTTAACTTGAAGCAAGCAGGAAAGATGAAAGAAAAAGACAAGATGTGTGTACTGTCACATGTTACATCTTATATTGCAGGCTCGCTTAATAAGCACTTGTTTGAGCTTACTTGCTGTTACGGACTTGGATAGTATCTGTTGGCAACACTCAAACAGAGCATATGTCGTCAACAGTCGAGGATGTCCTTGGGCTGGCCCAAGGTTAGGGGTCTTACTTGGTGAAGCTTCGGCAAGTAAGATTTAACGCCTATGTCCAAATTGGGTAGCTTATGTCAAGCGGGACTTGATGATAAGCGTATCTGCCAAGGCTTACGACACCCAAAGGTTAATCATAAGATCTGCGTTAATAGAAGGACAGAAGTCTGACTAATAACAGGGGCTTTGCTCAACAACGAAGTCAATGAGTAAAGATCAAGACTAGAGACTTATCCGCGATGAGCAGATAAGAAAGTAGAATATAGACAGCTGGCTAGGCTGAAGGAATCACTCTTGTTAGGAGTAGGAAGTCAAGAACCAAGTAGATTCAAGTTAAGGAACTAGATACATGGTAGCGAGTTTATATAGAGGAGAGGACGCTGTAGAAAGTGGATTTCTGCTGGGCTCAGCAGAAATCGTACTACCTAGACAACAAATATTTAGGTAGATCTTAGCACGACCTATGTTGCTATACTTGCAGAGCAAGTGCGTTCGATCCTAAAGGGATTGCTAATTGGTATTAGTAGTAAAAATGTGTCAGTAATGCAAATAACAAAATGTCTGATGGTGCGAAACAATGTCCGAAGGTAATCCGATGATGTCTGAAGGTACTTATCCAATGTCCGAAGCCAAAGTGCGATGTCCAAGATTTCGGACTTTCGGACTTCACGATAATAGGTCAGAAACTTTATAACGAGTGTTGGATTGCGAGCAGTATGCGCGAGTATAACAAGTGATGGAGTATGACAGTGAACGAATGGTAATATTTCGCAATGCAACTAAGAACTACGAGAATATTCTGGGTGATCCGCAGAGTCGGGAAATGGCTCCTAACTACTGGATGATGATTGCTATGGGTCACTACAGAGTATTTAAGTAAGTACGTAGAAATTCGGAAAACTACAGGCGAAGATAGTAGCAATATATTTCGGGTCTGATGTCCTATGTAATAAGACACGAGGTGCTGCGGACATGTAATAACGCGGTCTGAATGTCAGAAAACATACACGGGAATGACTACGCACCTAGTGAGGCTAGTTCGGATGGACAGGACACGGGATGGACAAGTGCGCGCGAAGTGCGATCGGCCGATGCGATGTCCAAAGGTCCGATGCGCCGGATCCGATGTGGAGTGGCTCGGACATGTGCGAAAGTGCGTCGGACATGTGTGCATATGTTTCGGGTGTTGACGTGAGTATGGAAATACGTGGTTTTGAGCCCAATGCCGCAACCATCGCTACAACGTGTATTAGTGGATGATAACTTGTACTACCAGAAAGGGAACTGGTCAAAGGGTGATACTAGAAAGGGAAGGCACGTTCGAGGTGAGTCATAGGTGGACCAGAATGTGCAGATAGGAAATGAGTCAAAGAACAGAAACAGGAAGTGAAACAAGCAGGGGCATGATCGTGCAACTGCGAAGCTAAATATAAGTACAATGTGTGACTGTGCACCGAGTCATAGATCAAGAAAGGAAATGGGGCAAAAGGGGATGCGGTCGTGCATCATGTCATAGGTTACCGTCCAGACGGTAAGGGTAAAGGGGACTGTCCCCAGGATCAGTCAACAGGTGGAACGGAGCATGGGTATGCTTTGTCAGAGAAAGGGTCCGGCCAAATGTACTGGCTCTGCTGGAGCGACAGGTAGAGAGCAAAAGGGAAGGCAAGGATGATGAGGATAACAAGAGCAAGGTCGGGGTAAGGGTGTGATGCAAGGGCAGAGATGAGGAGGATAAGGAGAAAAATAGTAGGGGCCCAAGCGTCTAGATGTTCTTGTAACACTTGCTCACAAGGTCACCAGTTGGCTCAAACAGATAGTACTGTGTGACAAGATGTACACTGGTAGATGTTGGTGCAAAGCATATGATATGTGATGCGACACCAGCGTGCACAGTGGAGTTCAACAGAAGGAATCCAAATGAAGTATATAGTCATTGTCCTGCCCTTACTCATCCCTCAGTTTGTTCCACTACAACTGAGGGTGAGTCCCGTTCTTACCATTGTTTCGCCTAGACACTTACCATTATATTTAGTCTAACAGTGTCTAGATTCAATAGGTTATGAGCCCCGTGCTCTTGTAAAACGAGAACATGGAAACCTCTAGATGTGAACAGGCCCGCAGACATTAAACTAAAATTAACCAGCAGAAACTATCACTCCTGGCGTGCGACGAACTAATGTTGAATGAGTGACGACCTTGAAAGGCATCTGCTTATCCTTATTCAGAAAAGAACCCTCTACGGTGCAAACGTTGTTGACTCATATATATATCTCGAGGACGTGATGAACATATTTCCCCATTTTCTTTCTTCTCTTCCACCACGATGGCACCTCCTACCACTTCAAAACCTACTCCTCATACCTGCTCTCACAGCTCTGGCACCAAGACTGCTAAGACTACCGCTGCCATACCAATGCAGGCCTCCATCACTGCAGTTACTCTAAGCCAGACTGATCTCGAAAAGATCGAGATCTTGGACCGGAGCAAGAACAACTGGGGAATATGGTCTGACAAAATGCAGAACTACCTGTTATTGAAGCATGGTGGTGCATATATTCTGGGGCTCATTACACACCCCAACCCCCTTCTTGACCCCACTCGGGTCTCTTTGACCTTAACAATCTTTGTATTATCGCTGCACTTAGGACTCGCTCCACCACTGAGGAACAGGAATTATTGCACAAACATACCGAATGCTCACACCGCATGGGAAGATCTCAAAACTCGTCATGAGCAAGTTGGTCCTATTGCCCAAATCCTACTTATCCAACAAGCTCTGTCCCTTCGCTATTGTTGTCGTGAACACCTTGCCTCTGTTAGTACCCAACTTAGTGACCTAGTCCGTCGGATCTATGCAGTGGGTCTACCTTCTGAGGAGGACTTCCTCGTTATCATGATGCTCAATACCATGTCCAAGGATCTCCCACATGTCCGCAACCATGTTGCGGATACACTCGCCATCAGCTCATCTACTACTGCATACGGCCCATCTCACATCCACTCTCGCCTCAATGTCGAACAGCAGCTCATCGACACTGAGACAGCCAAAGGCTCACCTGACGTGGCTCTTGCAGCAACTAAAGTTGGTTCCTCCACCCAACCTTCATGCGGCAACTGTGGCAGGACTGGCCACGTTATCAAGGATTGTTTTGGCAAGGGTGGTGCCATGGAAGGTAAATGTGACCAGGTACTTGAGCGCAAGCGTGCCGCACATGAGGCCAATTGAGGCACATCAACGCAAGATGCTGGCAGAAGCACCTCAAAGCCTGCTGCCACAGGAAAGCCTGGAGGTCTACACTATGATACCGGGGGGAGAGCTTATCTCCTTGACAGCGAGACGCATGAAGCAATTTACGTAGCGAGTGCCCAGAAGCCCCCAACTGAGACAAACATGGCGACCCAAGAATTTGCAGGGCTGGCTAGTGACACCCTCACACCAGCATTCATCCGTGAGATCTCTGCATCAGATGAGGATAAGTATACTACCCTCCTGGCTGCTGTAGACCCTCTGCAAACTAGTCTTGACTGGTGCCACTGCTCACGCTCCGTTGATTTTGCCGGCATCACTTACAAACCCCCAAACCAACATACCCGCACTATAGTCGACCCCTCCATCATACCATTCTTCCTCAATAGTGGCGCCTCTGTTCATATTAGTAACTCCAAGGCAGACTTCTACAGCCTGCGCCCTGTCCCACCTCGCACTGTCAATGGCGTGGGAGGATCATCCATCCAGGCTGTGGGTGTTGGTACCATACACCTCATCATCGCTAAGGGAATCCATATCACACTGGACCATGTCCTGTTCATCCCTGAGGCTACAGTTTGTCTTATATCTGTATCCTCGCTCTGTGCTGCCCACCATTGTGTTGCAAGTTTTGATGCCACCAACTGTTGGATCCAAGCGCGTAGTGGGACACGCATGCTCTCTGGCACCTTAACATCTCGTCGTCTCTATGCTTTATCTGGCGGCCAATTGTCTGCGGAACATGCATATCTATCTCACCAGCTCCCCACCCTCCAGACCTGGCATTGCCGTCTCGGACACGCGAACTATTGCACTGTTTATGACCTGGCACATTCCAATAACGCCTCTGGTATGCCCATCACCCTTTCTATCGAGCCACCTAAGTGTGATGACTGTATCCTTGGTAAACAGACCAGGACTAGCGTCCCGAAGATTCGTGTGGGAAGTAAGGCTACTAGGAAACTGGGGATTGTACATGTAGACTTGATGGAGCACCCCGAGACTGTATCAGTGTCTGGTAACAAATACATCATGGATATCATTAATGACTTCTCATCTTTTGCCTGGTCCATTCCCCTCACTGCAAAGTCTGATGCCTTCCCTGCCCTTCAGGCTTGGGAACATGCTTGGGAAGTCGAAAACTGGCCTCAAGGTCGGAGTCTATCGTTCTGACAATGGTGAGCTCAAGACTGTGTCCATGTGAGAGTGGCTCCTCTCGTGTGGAACGCAGCACCAGTTCACTGCTCCTTACACTTCAGCCCAAAATGGTTGTGTTGAACGCCTTCACCACACACTGATGGGGAAAGCCCAATCTATGCGCTCATCATGCAGTGTCCCGGTTAACTGCTGGGATGAATTCGTCCTTACAGCATGTTATTTGTCTAATCGTACTCCTGTATCGTCTCAAGCCAGTCATACCCCTTTTGAATGTTGGACTGGAGTGAAACCTGACCTTTTGCATCTCCGAGAAATCAGTTGTTGGGCTTTTGTACAAGTACAAAACCGTCACAACCCTAAAGTATATGATTGATCCGTGGAGTGTGTACTCATCAGCTACTCCCTTGATTTGCAAGCATACAGATGCTATCATTGTGCTACTCACAAAGTTTTTATATCTTATCATGTTTCTTTCATAGAATCACACCAAGCTGGCTCACCTCCTCCACCCCTTCCTGGTGTCAATGCACCACTAGCACATCCCATACCTCCTTGCAGTCTGTGTCTCTTGAAGAGGTGCCCAATGTCGATGCACCATGCCTATCACAGTTAGAACAACCACATCGCTCTTCACGTCTGTCTGTCCCATCCGAATGATGTTGTGCTATGGATGGTAAGCCTTATGTCTCGGCCACCCAATGCGCCATGTTGGATTCCCTCGCTGCTGTGGACCGCCTCAAAATGCTACCACCACACACTTTACTTGATGATGACCTGTTGGCGGCACTCATGTCTGAGGAGGAGCTCTCACACCTCACTGATCTGTTTGCTGCCATGCCTGATGTCACGAGTACCTTTAACAAACCACTATTCTTTCTTAAATCTTCCTAAGCGTCAATACACAGCGTCTAAGACAAACCCTAACCCTACCCCGAAAGCGTCTACCAGTTCAGAAATTCCATTAGCGCCCACGACACGTGTCTTCGATGTGACTGATGAAGAAGACGAGTTCTTTGATTGTGATTAGATAAGATAAGATACGATAAGATAAGATATGGTCACGTGATACTTCTTTAATATTCTACAATGTTCTATGGTACGATTCTCCTTCCTATTTTATGATTGGCTAGTAGTTGTAACTCAGCTTCAATCTCCGTTTCAATAGTTGTATATAGTTAGCATGTCTTGGTCAATAGTTCTCTAGTTCAAACCTCTTGTATCTACAACTGTAGCAATCCAAGACGTACTTGCTCATCGTTCTCTCTGTCCGATAACCTTTGTTTGAGTCCTAGTCTCTGCCCAGCGTTAATTCGTTATTGGGTTGTGACACCTGACCACCTTGAACACGAATTCCCTGATGACCCTTCAACCTATGCAGATGCTATGGCCTCCAGCAATGCTGCTGATTGGACTCGAGCCTTGAAGGACAAATTTGATTTGCTACGTGACTTAGGAGTATACAAGCTGGTTCCCCGGTCATCCATCCCTCACGGGCACAAAATCATGTGTGGTCGCCCGATCTTCAAACTCAAACAAGACCAAAATGGTCATCCTGTCCATTTTAAGGCCTGTTATGTGTGCTGTGGCTATTTGGCTGTCTGGGGCCAAGACTACACTAAAACATCTGCCCCTACAGCACAACTAGAGTCTTTTTGAATCCTCACCCACCTTGGTGCCGCTCTTGATTGGGAAATCGACCAACTCGACATCAAAACAGCATTCCTACATGGCTTGCTCGAATCTGATGAGTTATGTTACATGGAACAGCCAGAAGGTTTTGTCGAAGCGGGAAAGGAAGACTGGGTCTGGGAACTTCAGAACGGTCTCTACAGTATGAAACAAGGTGGACTTGTCTGGAACCGGACGGTGAATGAGGCCATGCTCTCATGGGGTTTTCACCGCCTCAAGTGTGAACATTGCATATACTTTTGTTGGTCCGAAGCAGGCATCCTCCTCGTCACTGTTCATGTAGACAATTTTCTCACTGTTGGCAGCACTAAAGCGGTCATCTCAATGTTCAAAGACCAACTACACACTAAGTGGACTGTTTCTGATCTCGGTGAGGCACATTTCTGCCTGGGCATCGCACTTGAATGTGATTGTGCTAATCGAACGATTGCTCTCTCCCAAACTGCCTTAATTGATTGTATCATCACACAATTTGGTCTCAAGGCCGCTGTTCCCGTATCAACTCCGATGGACCCAGGGCTTCATCTCTCTTGGCGTACTCATGCACCATCAACTGACGCTGAATGAGACTTGATGTCATGCATGCCCTATTGTTCCCTTGTTGGCTCCCTCATGTACCTGGCCATCGGTTCACGACCAGATATTGCTCATGCCATTCAACAACTATGCAGACACCTTGACTGCTATGGCCCTGTCCAGTGGGAAGCGGCGAAACGAGTGGTATGTTATCTGAAATGTACACATGAAGTAAAGCTTGTCCTGGGAGGCAACCATCATGCTCACCTTCTTGGTTTCATAGACAGTGATCTCGCCAACTGCCCTGACACATGGCACTCTGTTAGTGGCTATTGCTTCTCGCTCAGTAGTGGTGTCGTCACATGGAGTGCTCATCAGCAGAAGACTGTGTCACTTTCAACTTGCGAGGCCGAATATGTTGCGGCTTCAGAGGCATCCCAAGAGATTGTGTGGTTGTGAACCCTCCTTCACGAACTGGGATTCACACAACCTTCCGCAACTCCACTTCTCTGTGACAACACCAGCGGAATTGTCTTATCTGAAGACACCTCGTATCACTCAAAAGTCAAACATATTGATATTAAACTTCATTCTATTCGCGAATGTGTTGCACATGGTCAGCTGAAACTCCACTATGTTCGATCCAAAGACAATGTCGCCGATATCTTCACCAAAGCCCTTCCCCATAAAGATTTTGAATGACTCCATGCATGCCTAGGCCTACAGTGATCAAATCGAAGAGGAGTTGTGTCGCGTCGAGGAGTGTTGGTGCAAAGCATATGATATGTGATGCGAAACCAGCGTGCACAGCGGAGTTCAACAGAAGGAATCCAAACGAAGTATATAGTCATTGTCCTGCCCTTACTCATCCCTCAGTTTGTTCCACTACAACTGAGGGTGAGTCCCGTTCTTACCATTGTTTCGCCTAGACACTTACCATTATATTTAGTCTAACAGTGTCTAGGTACTATAATAGTTCGTTCCACTATGACTGAGGTCTAACAGTGTCTAGATTCAATAGTAGATGCAAGGTTTGACAGCTAAATCAGGAAAGGTTCAGGTCCACATAAGTAATTTACAAGAGGACAGCTGTAAGGTCAAGTCAGCATTGACAATGATACTATCCCTTACGGTCATTTTGTGACAGTCCACTATTTCATAAGTCACACTCATGTCACTAATAGTAATGAATAGTCACTGGCCAAATTTACACTCCATTCAGCAGACTTGACTCATGAATTTCGGACAGCTGATTAGGATGCTATATGACCTAGCAATAAACCTGCAAGCTATAGTATGTATGAAAAACATAGAGCTAAGTGTGAATCATTACTGCTGTGTAAAATAATGCTGTTGGAATGTATGTGGATGAGCTGGTAGATATTGATACATCAAAGGATTATGAAGTCCATGACTTGCCAGATGTGTGTGTTGACTGAAAAAATATGGTAGATGTGGTGCAGGAATGCTGAAGCCAGTGTGAGATGGCGGATGTGTGAAATGTGGTTGTAGTGCTTGGGAGGAACACCCAGTGCTCACCTGTTCAGGGATTGCAGCTATGCCTACAATGAAACACGCTGTCAAATTTAATGTCCAACATCGGCAGCCATGGCAGGTGACACTGAATCGTGATTTTTGCAGGTGTCACGCTGAAAACACTATCCCCACCATTTCTCAATCGTTTCGTTTCGTTTCACTTGGAAAATGCTAGTATAATATGTAGAACATACCTAAGCAATTACTTTAAAATTGAGTGCTGTAGATAAAAATCACGAAATAGTGGACCGTCACGAAATGACCGTAAGGGATAGTATTTTAGAATTGAGCAGCACTTTGTTCATTTTATTTCAGAAGCTTTTGCACAAACTGTCACAAAATAAAATGGCCAAATAAAATTGTTATTGAATACTTAGGGCATGAGACGATGCACAACATTCAGTTTATGTATCATCATGATCCACTTTCACACGAGTCAAATTGATTATGATCATGATGCTGCTCCACCACTACATGAGTCATGACCCTGAGCGCCCGTACTTCTGATGTCTCGTTTCAGATTAAAATCCGCAGCCCATTCTTATAACTTGTCTTCATACCACCATGAACGAGAGCCTTGTCTCCAAGTACAAAGACATCATCACCTCCAGAGGATTGACTTACCACTATCTGTCCGTGCCAGCTGTGGATGACAAACCCACTCTATTCTTCGTCCATGGCTTTCCCTCCATTTCATATGATTGGTATCATCAGATCAACTACTTCTCCGAGAAGGGATTTGGTGTGGTAGCGCCCGACATGCTCGGATACGGCGGCACGTCCAAACCCACCGATATATCCTTGTTTCTGCACACCGCAATCGCGCAAGACTTGCTCGACATTCTTGATGCCGAGAAAGTCCAAAAAGCCATAGCCGTTGGGCATGACTGGTAAGATATAACTGAACGTGCACCGGCTAAATTCAGAACCGTCATCAGGGGCACCCGCATAGTCTCCGTCCTGTCAATGAAACACTCTGACCGATTCTTGGGTTTCGCATGGGTTGTGGTCGCATACCAAATATACACTCCCTTACCTCCCATCGATGTTATTTTAGAGATGAATATCAAGACATTCGGCCGGCCACTACTGGGGTACTGGAAGTTTTTCGAACAAGAAAGCGCTGCTCAAATCATCGAGAAGAATGTGAGTGTTTGGCCAACGTCCTGATCTCTTGTTATTAATGAAACGTAAAGCTAGAATCGTTGATTTCCGTGCTTTATCCAGACGACCCAGATAGTTGGCTGACTCTGATGAATCAACCCGGGGAGATACAAGCCTTCATCGCAAGTGGAAAGACAACAAAGAGAGCCGGTTATCTCACAGACGAGGTGATTCTTATTCTTGTCAGGCTTGTCAGAATTGACTGTGTCCGTGAAATATAGCACCACTCACGCTTGTTGGAGTCACTTAGGAAAGGTGGGTTAGCGAGCCCCCTGAACTGGTACAAGTCTACGATCGGTAGCGTCAATTCCCGCATTATGGAAGGTGCGACACAATGTCCATCTCATTGCTCGACATTGCATTATCTGATTTTATTTGGCTGCTTTGACAGACATACCAGAAGAAAATCAGTTTATCAAGAAACCCGCGTTCTTTGCAGTCGCAAGGAAAGACCACGTATGTGTGTATGATTACGCCGTGCCCCAAATGAAGCAATATGCGACGGGAGGTCTCCACCTGGTAGAGTTCCAAGGAGGACACTGGGTTCAGTTGGAGGAACCGGAAACGTTCAACAGAGAGCTTCATTGTTGGATTCGCGATACGTTGCAACAAAATTGTTGAAGAGCACAAGCGGACTAGTCACGAAAACTCATGAGCATCAGCTGTATTATGTATATCACCAACTTGACATCACAATCTACCTGAGCCCAACTCTCTCACGCAAGACGTTGTGAACTAGTTGAATATGATCTCTGGTTTACGCATGAGGGCGGGGGCAATATGGACAAGGACAATGCCACCGGAACTGAACTAGCCGCACATTCGAGTTCGACATTAACATGCGCATGTTTGTTGAGTAACGAATTGATACTTATCGACGCTATCACAGAATCTGTAAAATCAAGAAAGGCGATTGTTTTGGTGATCGGCGTAACTTGCACATGAGATGGTGTAATCTAATGAGGCAACAAACAACAGTAAGTCTGATGCAGATAAGTATGCGTAATACAAGAACTAGGCCAGATGGGCTGTGATGTCAGTGTATCCAAGCTAATACCTGTGTTGTCGAATCCAGATGCCGCATTGCAGGTAAATGACGGTATATGAAGGGTGTATATGACAGCGCGATGAAGTGCGGAAAGCCATTGTTGATGAATCATTTGTCAATCAAGACCTATCATCGGTCAGCGTACAGTCATTATCACCACAAATCGGACTGGGGAAAAGAGATGCGGCAAGAATAAAAAATCACGCACATTTTGTATTCTACTTCTGTCTCTTCCTCGTCTCCCACTGCATACGAAATGGAAATGTCAAGATCACGGTTGTTCCGCGCGTTCGGTGCGCAAGATAGTTCGCCAGTAATTTCCTGCCCTTGTTTGATGGTGATTGTCGAGGGGGTATAGAACACTGTTTGCCTTTTTGGAAAAAAATAAATGCCTGAAGAACAAAAAGTTGAATTGCAAACGTACTTCCAGTGCGTGTATTGCGCATGAGGACCGGTTGAAAACTTGACTTTCTTATGTGTGCAGTCGAAGACTATGTCAAACCAAGCCAGGAACGCATGGATATCTAAAGTAGCGCGTATGAATGCTGCGATTATACCTGACACGATTACACTCACAGTCATCGCGTGTAGCAACAAGGCTAAAAGGCGCTGTGAAAGTCAGGTCCTCCTTTGTTGCTGTCAAGAGGTCGATTTCCTGCATGAAGTCAGATAAGTATCGACAATGTATTGTTGCAAACAAACTTTGATAACATAGGGATCGGTTACAACCGCTTTGAGTTCAACGGTATCCACCAAAGGTTCGCGGAGCGCGATGTCTTTGATACACGAGTAGTCGAAGCCGTACACATTATCCCAGACTATAATACTGTTCTCAGCCAGGCGCGCGTATAACACAAATATACGTACAGTTGATCTTCTCCTCTTTGTAGTCTTGATCTTCAATGGCAGCAAAAAGGATTCTTGCTGTGTCGGGGAATATCAATCCTTCCGGTTTGAGGTATTTGTCTCTTGCAAGCAAGACGGTATCTAACATAGATTCGTAGAGAAGGAAATATCCCATCCACTCTGAAATGATGATATCGAATTTATCGATAGGAAGCTCGGCTTCCTCAAGTTTTCCCTTGACGAGAGTAATTGCTAGTGTATTGTTACTAAAGATGGTATCAGCAGCATGCGGTCAGACGTACTGTCTTTGAAGCCGTTTGCTTCTATAATCTTTTGAGCTTGATCGATAATATTCGACATGTCGATCTTCAAAGGCATGCAGTAAATGATACGAGCAAGATAGGCATGTAGCTTACACCGACTACATGTGAAGCACCCGCTTTTGCGGCGAACATACTCAAGATACCAGTTCCACATCCAACATCTAGGACTGTTTTACCCTTGAAGAGGTGACCATTGTTGATGATCGCAGAACGATATGATCCTGTCCGGACAGTGTCCTTGAGCATTTCCTCGTGAATACCTGGCAGGACATGTCAGACTAACAATAGCTCGATCAGACGGATCAACAGACCAAAATGCGCGTATGAATCCGCATAACTGGAGAAGGGAAGCAAACATTAGGTATTAGAATTTCCTTGAGAAGATATGCGCAAATGTGCGAACTAGTCTCTGGAGGTCATCGAGTCCGATGTAACATCGGGGGCGACATGGTGGGTCGATGATGGTCCTGCGCTTTCCGATTGGGTATCGGAGACGATATGGTGGGTCGATGGGCCTGCACTTTCCATCTTCAAACGAAGTAGTTGGGTGAAACTAAAAAAACACAAAGGATACAAGTTTGTGTTTGCAGATAAAAATTCACCGGTTCCCACGGTAGCAGGAGATCCCAGGTACGTGAGGTTTCTCCGCTGACCCGTGAGAACAAAATCTGATAAAACTATACAGCTGAGATTATCAGGCTAACTTGGACTCCAATGATCAATCGATCAAAGCCTGGATTTATGACCGAAAAACAGAATCTGCAGCGCTGAAGGTCAGGTTACTTCCAATGTTCCTGACCAGAATCCTCTAGACTGCTATGGTACCACTGGTCGACTTGAACGATTTCTAATAATAGATGACTAACCAAACAATGTTAAACAAATTCGGCAGACGTAGCTGACGTGATCTGCCGCTTAATTGACAGTGCCCCCCTGCTTATGCGCCGCAGCGCGCAGCCTTCGAACTCATACAAAAGCCACGTAGCGGAACTCATCGATGATAATCGATCCTCAGTCAGAAATGGTGAGTATTTCTTGAACATATGTAAGCTTGACGGCTCTGGTGTTAATGAATTTCCAGGTGATCAAGCATAGTGCAGATAACCCACCTTCCTACGACTACGTCGAAGCTCAGACTAGTTCAAGTCAGTTTTCGCATCTTTATTATCCTGCATAATAAGTGTTTTACCATGATTTCAGATGCTGGACAACAACAGCCACCTTTGATGACTGACAAGAATACGAACCAACAAGTGCAGCTGCCTTCAATACCTCGTAACGCTGTGATGGCTGTTCACTCTCGTACCATGCCTCTAGCGCAGCAACCCACAGTCTACCATTATCAAAATCCCTTGACTGGCGAGCGCATCGCCTCGCTACTGCCCCCAGACCACCCAGAAATGATATGTTTACAGCAAGGGGCACATGTCACCGAAACCAGCTTTGGCATCCTAGGTAGGGGCAATCGCATACTAACGGGAAAGCAATTGACTCGTGCCTTTCTTCAGGTATTTTGGCTGCAATAGTTTGGTTTCCATTGGGCGTTGGCCTTTGCCTTCTTGACCGGAGGGTCAAGTGCAAACGCTGCGGGGCGGTCATAGACAACGGTATTTGTGGTTAATTAGTATTGTATGCCCTCAGCATTCTTCCTTTCTGTTCCTTGGGACTCCCGCGATGCACAGATATGTTCTCCTTGTTATTCGATGTTTTCATCTCTATATCCCAGTTTCTGCGATGCTCTTAACTTATTAATGTATAGGTGTAGTATGTAAATTACTATTCGACGGACGGATAGAGAATGCCAATTCCAGCTTTGTTAAACAAGTAGCCTAGGCAATTATTTTTCGTAGAGGCTAAGCGGACTCAAACTGTCACAGCATCATCGTCGGATCTACCTTTACATAAAATTTAAACCACGAAATCTACGTACCACACATACTTAAAATAATCCCAAAGTCCCCAGCCTTGGTTGAGAACTGAGCAAAAGAAAAAGAAGGGCCTTGCTGGGAATCGAACCCAGGCCACTTGCAATTGTGAATCGCCCAAAGCAAGTATCGTACCTCTAGACTACAAGGCCTTGAGATATGCCAACGAGTGGCTGCTCATAATAAAAGATAAAGACTACGCGGTGGCTTATGACGGCAAGTCATAATAAAAAAACATTGCCACGTACTAGTATCCGAGTCTGCTAACGGTGCACCATTCAAGCCCTCAAGACACAAGACGTGATCACCTTAGCAGATACACTGGAAGGTGAAGGTAGGATGTTGTTACTTGAGCTAAGTGGCTCCCAGAGAAGAGGAGTATGGCAAACCAATTGCTCGAAGACCTTTGAGTGCCAGTCTGAACCGTTCGTACCTTTCAGGTTGGAGCTTGGAAGGTGCCGTTGAGCCTAGTGGTTTGATCCTGTCCATATTGGTATCTATTCATTTCAGTTCAAAGGTCAGAGGAGCATGCATGATCGGTTTGAATTTTCCCATTACTCATCGATATCTGAATCGCCTGACCGCTGTGAATGTTGTGCTGTTCAGGTTTGATAGCACTCAGCCGTTCGTTAGTAACGTTGAGAACGAATTCACAGCTGTTCAGAACCGCCTCCGAAGTGTGAAGCTTACTAAGCTACTGGAATTAGTACACTACATCGTCGAAAGCGAACTTGTACAGCAGTACTTGTTAAAGCCCGTCCACCACCAGCCATGGTTCGAATTATCATCAAAGGAGGCAAGTGATTCTATTTAGGCCTTTTGGCGCATGTTAATTGTAACCTTATAAACGAATCAGGTGTTTGGAAGGTACATTACAACTTCGTTTGAGTCTTGCCGGAATCCGAATCTGACACACTCATCCAGAACACGGAGGACGAAGTTCTCAAGGCCGCGATAGCAAAGTACGGGAAGAATCAATGGTGATTTGTCCATTTATTGTCAGCTGTCCCGCTATGGTACTGAGCATTACTAGGGCGCGTATATCGTCGTTGCTGGTCCGAAAGACCCCCAAACAATGTAAAGCGCGGTGGTACGAGTGGCTAGATCCATCTATCAAGAAGACGGAATGGTCAAAGGTGTGTGTCGCAGACTTTTGTTTTTATGCTGAAACCTGCAATGTACTACTCAGACCGAGGATGAAAAGTTGATGCATCTTGCAAAAATCATGCCCACGCAATGGCGGACAATAGCTCCTGCGGTGGGTCGTACCGCCACACAATGTCTTGAGCGATATCAGAAGTTGTTGGATGAGGCCGAGGCGAAGGAAAACGAGGAGCTGGGGCTGACAGGACCAGAGGGAGAGTCGGCACCAAGTGCAGACGACATCAGGCGCCTGCGACCAGGAGAAATTGACCCTGATCCTGAAACTAAGCCTGCACGTCCCGATCCTATCGACATGGACGAAGATGGCACGTTTTATTTTGCACGGGAGGCGGGTTTTTGCTGACTCTGCATACAGAGAAGGAAATGTTATCCGAAGCCCGTGCTCGTCTCGCAAATACACAGGGCAAGAAAGCTAAGCGGAAGGCTCGTGAACGCCAACTCGAAGAAGCAAGACGTCTTGCTGTCTTGCAGAAAAAGCGTGAGCTGAAGGCTGCTGGAATCATGTGCGTCAATCTGTTTAGTTTGGGCTATGACCCTCCTCATATAATATGCTTTAGTATGCGACATAAAACGAAAAATAAGGGTATGGATTACAATGCCGATATTCCCTTTGAAAAGAAGCCGGCAGCGGGCTTCTACGACACGTCGGAAGAACAGGCACGCATTGCCTCTGCGCCAGTCGGCCAATCTCTCCGCCGTTTAGAAAACAAACGCAAACCTGATGAAGAGGAAGCTGAACGAAGGAAGCGACAACGTCGCGCAGCAGAGGCTAAGGGCGATAACGATGGCCACCAAACAAAATTTATTGCCGCTCGTGATGCACAGATACAGAAGTTGAAAGAGGCGGAGAGCATTGGTCGTCGACGGAAGCTTGTGTTGCCGAACGCGCAGGTTGGTGAGGCGGAACTAGAAGATATTGTCAAGATTGGGCAGACAGGGGAGAATGCCAAGGCATTGGTTGGTGGCGGAAGCGAGGCAACTGCAAAACTCTTGAGTGATTATGAGGGTCTGGAGGGCGCAAGAATGGCACGAACACCTCGTACTGCACCCCAACGTGAGTCTTCTTTAGTACTCACTTCTATCGCGGCGACTGAGTTATATCATAGAGGACAATGTCATGTTGGAAGCACGCAATTTACGGAACATGACCATGGCCCAGACACCTTTGTTGGGAGACGAGAACACCCCCCTTCATGTTGGGCCAGGGGGAGGAACTGGTTTTGAGAGCGCAACTCCTCGGCATCAAGTTGCTTTTACCCCAAATCCTCTCGCAACTCCTATGCATGGCGGCCCAGGCGATGTTTCTGCAACGCCGCGAGACGGTGCATCGTGGGGCGCAACCCCACTACGTACGCCTATGCGTGATACCCTCAGCATCAATCCCGTTACGGGCATGCCAGTTGGCGAGACACCACGCGACCTCCGGTTACGTGCCGACTCCGCCAAGCGTGCATTGAAGGCCGGATTCATGAGTCTTCCAAAGCCTGAAAATAACTTCGAGCTTTTGGTTCCCGAAGATGAAGAGGAAGACGATGGCACCACAGGTCCGCTATCAGAGGAAGATGCTGCCGAACGGGATGCGCGCTTAAAGCGGATACGCGAAGAGGAGGAAAGAAAGGCCTTGGCAAGACGGACGCAGGCTGTTGCTCGTGGGCTACCTCGTCCTGCACGTGTCGACGTGGAGCAGCTGATGAGGGACTTGAACATCGGGGAAGAAGATGACGACATGGCAGAGGTCAGAAAACTCCTGAATTCGGAGATTGCGGATCTCCTGCAGCACGACTCGATAATGCATCCTCTCCCTGGCACAAATATTCCTGGTGGCACGTCATCAACATATCGGATACCGCCAGATGATGATCTTGCTGCTGCCAAGTCTGAGATCCATCTTGAACTTGCCCTCTCAATAGGCTTCCCTGATGCCAACGAAGCCCAGGTGAAGGAGGGACTGGCAACGCTGTCGAGCAGCGAAGATATTGATGAGAGTGCGTCTTGGGCAAGTATCCGTCAGCAGCTTGCTTTCGATGCCTCCTCGAGAACATGGGTAGAACCCAGCAGCCTTTCCGCGGAAGCCAGGATAGCCGGTTATGCTACACTGCTCGAGGAGAACCGTGGAGAGATGTCGAAAGAGGCCGGCAAAGCTGCCAAGGCCGAGAAGAAGCTCGACATCACCCTTGGTGGATATCAAGCACGTTCAAAAGCTCTATCCAAACGTGTCACTGAAGCTTTCGATGAGCTCGTGCGCACGAAAGTGGACTATGAGAGCTTCTCTCGGCTCAGTATCAACGAGGCTGCAGCTGGACCACGAAGATTAGAGTCGCTGAAAGAGGAGGTGGATGTCCTATCACGGAGAGAGCGGTTGCTGCAAGAGCGGTACGCAGAACTTGACCGCGAGCGTCGGGATGCAGAATCGAGGGTTGCTCTGCTGGAGGAGAAAATCATGGCAGAGGCAGAGGCACTCAATGAAGCAGCTCTCGCTGAGATGGAAGCAAGCGGATGATTCATTTTCAAGTGTTTTTATGCAACTATGTATCATTCTGCTTTTACACTCACTATATAGTACTTATCGTAACGGCACCGGCACAAGCCCCCGACCCGTTATTCCTGGCATGTCTTGCGTCCATCGAATTAAACGCAAGACTAGTTTGTTCTATACGCTTGTTAATGCACAATATGATACACAAAATGTTTGTTGCTGTCATATACAACTTCTACATGTTCAATTTCAATTTACAGACAGTGATCTACCAGCTGATCATTTGGGATTATTCTAAGGTCAGCTTGAGGGTCGTGATGTTGATTGTGTGGGGTCGCCACTTGCCTGATGTACCCGAGCACGTTGCACATCACCGGGTCACTCAATCAGTTCCGCAAAATGTCGTGCACCAATGTCGTCCTTCATTATCTTTTAAAGTCATGCTCGAATATCATAAACCACTGCAGGCCCGGAGATTTGCTATACCTCCAATTCTTGAAGTTCTCCACCGGCTCTGCTTGGGATTGCTCAGCATCAAACAGAAGCTCACAAAACGACTAGGACGTCGGCACTGACGGACCTTAAATACATACACAAAATCTATGCTTTACAAAATATCAAGAGCAAAATCATCTCGTCTCCAAAAGTCAGCAAATAGTTTCGTTTTTCTGTGAAACACAAGCTCGGATATAAGAACCTGCATTTGTTCCTGACTAATAATTTAAGTTGCTCACACTTGTAAATGTCGATGCTTCAAGTTCCTTCCCAGATGGGTCGGTTCGTAATTGCGTAGCCCCAGTGCTAAACGCAACCGTGTTCTAAAACAGAATTATAATTTACGCAGTTATTCACATGCATGGTGCTCACCAAAGCAAAGGAATGGCTCTGAGTGTCGTTTCTTGGGGCCCTGCTTCCGAAGGAGCGACCTACGATTCAATCTGTACGACATCGGTGAGTTTCGGTTTAATGTCTGTCTGTTTGGCAACTGACGAGATTAGGAAGGAGTTCCCTACGACTGCACAATACGTGGGTTAATATATTTAATGTGAAGTATTCCGTATCATTACCATTGGGCCACAATAAGTATAACCCGAGCCCCGTATCTGCGTCATTTCAGCTGTGGTAGAATGTGAGTATAAGCCCACTCACTGTTCGGCTGCTTCAAGGTAGGAATCTTGGGAAACTGGTTAGAGAGCGTTCCCATGGGGGAAGAGACATCGATAACAAAGCCCTCACCAACGTTGCCAATGTAAAGGCCATCAAACTAATGGATCATCGATCAAAAATCTTGTAAGCCATAAAAGAGTCAAATACCTAGTGACCAGACCAGTTTCTGTGTAGAGTGATGTCAGGAGGGAAAGAGCATCTGATGAAGGCGCTTCCTAATATCTCACCGATTGTCCATTTAAGCAACCGGTCGATCATCGAAACCGTGCTATGATAGATGTAAGAACAGCAACTTGAGGCGAGATGATGGGTAGCATACCTTCTAATCTCAGAGCCTCGTTTCTTGTATAAACTCCAGGCGATTCCAGCGGTGATGATCAACTCACAAGCTGCACGTGCGATGAGAGCGAGGTCAGCCAGCAGAAATTGAGTAGATTCAATATGCGTGAGGTCCATAGAAAATTGCATTCCTAGGAAAACGAACGCGGAAGTTTGTGCAGTCACGGAGAGTATTTGGGAAAGGGTGAGCAAGAAGACATTTCTAGTCAACCTCCAAAGTCGAAAAGCGTAAAATGACTAATATTACTCGTAAGCACTTATAATGGATATATATACATCTGGAAATGACTTACCTGCACAATAGATACTGTTAGACTGCTCAACGGAACGGAGATGTCTGATGCTGTAGGAAGCACCGTGAGTTGAGATGGGTCACCATAGGTGCTGACAGTCATTGTCCACAGCATCGATATCACACAAGCAAAGTGGCCCAGCTGAACCAAGCTGCAGAATTTGTGTTGGTATTCGGAGGAATCAAGTAAAACATCGGGCGCACATGACTGTAGATACCTAATCGTATGGAGCGATCAATAAAATCAACGATGAATTGTGTAGTTGATCGACCTACAATTGCTTTCAGGACGACATGGTCGCTCCTGAATCTCGTAAAATACAAGCAGGACTGACAGGCGAGGCAGCCGAATAACGCAGCACTCAACAGCCCACAGACTAGGACCGGTCCGATGATCAACCCTGGATTGATATCGCTCGCTCGTTTGAGGCTACTCATGCTGCTTATACTAAGTTTTGCAAGGTTACAAAAATAGTGTGATCATTCAGACTGACTTACGAAGGTGTTGATTAGTTGGGGATACAAAGGATCGTCGAGAGTTGCGACCAGAGTGGGGAAATGCAGCTTCTCCGTGACAGATCAGTGCGAATCCATATAAGCACCTGAGTCGGAGGCAATTATAGACAGAACAGTCTTAGCTGCGCAGTAATAGATATGATGCCCTTTAATTGGTCGCAGTGTGGCGCAAGGTGGTACGGCCCCGAACGCGCACGACTCGGTCCCAATATGAAGCAACCAACAACTTCATCACTACGGAAACGAGAAAATATCAGTGAAGGGGCACGCAACATACGCGGAATCATCGCGTCGTACAATTCATTTATTCGGGCTCGTAATTGTTTCAGGTTGAGGTGGTTGCTCGCAAGAAACTCATCATTGAAGGCAAATAAGTATAAACAAAGTTTACAGCCTCATGGTGCTTCGAGCGCGCTCGAGATGATCATGCATCTGATCAAAACTGATATTGATTGGACTATTTTCAGCGTTTGATGAGATACGAGGTCCACTCTGAAATTCACTTTACGATATGCATCAGAGATATGTAAGTTGTACAGCATTAATTATCAGCATGTGCCATAGAGGTCCGACTTCCAATATGTTGGTGCTGTCCACGGACATCTTCTACACCGCTCTAGCCTCCACATGCACCTACGGCGTATCACGTCAATAGTAGGTCATGGATCAGGAATGGAATTTCATATGTGATGCAGTGTGAGTGGGTTGAGTCCCGTGGGGCACGCGCAATGCCTATCTCTGCTTCTGTATACAGCCACTCAAAAACAATGCATCTGCTGACCATCCTGGTTGTTACTAAGGCGCTTGGTATGGTACGGTCCGCGCCCAATTTTTACAAAATGCTTGAGTCGTGCAGAAACCTTCGTTTAAGTGGACCATTACACCCAGGTAGGCCTGGAGCTTCATGACGTCTTGCATACGGGAACCGATATTATTATCGACAAACCTCAACACAGCACCCATGCCCAACGCCGAACTAGAGTGTCAAGAATAAATAACCTCGTATTCGCCCTATAGCCAGCAGCACGTTCCATCATCTGTTAAACATCCATGTGAACCATCGTAGGCTTAGAAACTCGTCCGAGTTCTACGTCGATCGAGCGTTCTGCTTCTTGGGATTCTTTAACGTCTAGATGATTGGAGTTCTCCAATACGTATGCTTCTGGTCGCCTAGTGTCAGCTTTGAACACAATGGTGTTCTGAAACAGAATTAAAATCTACATGCAGTTGATCAAATGGTACTCACTATACCAGTACGACTCTGGACATCACTTCTCGAAGCGGACCGACTCTCCTGAAGAAATAACCGCCGATTGAACCTGAATGCCATATCGGTAAGTCCATCATGTTTATCATTTGTCAAGTCCGTTTGGTGACTGACGAGGCCAATAAGGAGTTCGCTATAACTAAACGATACGGGGTCAGTAAGTATATTGAATTTGAAGTATTCCATATCATTACCATTAGGCAGCATCAACCATGCTCCAAACCACACAACTGCATCATTTCAGCGGTGGTGAAATACAGTACAAATACACTCACAGTTCTGCTCCAGGACTAGAAACTTGAAAGCTTGTTAGAGAATGCTCCATTCGAAGGAAGATATAAGTGGTGAAGTCCTTACCAACACTGCCACTATAACGGCCATCAAACTAACAGATCATTGATGGAAACACTTGATGAAAAAATAGCTAGATACCTGGTGGAAAGACCGGTTTCTGTGTAGAGTGTCAAAAAAGGACACCAATCTCATGAAGGCACCTAATGTCTTACCAATAGTCCAATAGATCAACCGGTCGATTATCGTCATTGTGCTATGATAAACGTAAGGGATGGTAGGCAAAACTATGAAAATTCATACCTTGGAAGTTTGGAGACTCGTTTGTGGTATAGACTCCAGGCGATGGCACCAGTGGTAAGTAAGTCGCAAGTTGCACGTGCAACGAAGGACAGCGTAATCAAGTCCATTTGATTGTCTTCAAAAACCGTGAGGTCTGTCATATAAAACGCTCTCGATGAAAGAATGAGTGTGGAAATTTGCGCAACAACTGAGATCATTTCGCAGAGAATAGGCAAGAAAATTTTTTCAGACAACCTCCAAAGTCGAAATGCGTAAAATGCCTGGTATAACCCATAAGTAACAATGAATGAGAATGAATTCGGAATCATTTACCTGCACGATAAATGCTGTGAAGGCGCTCAATGGAATGGCCAAGTCTGCCGCCACAGGAAACACCTTGAGTTGAGATGGGTCACCATAGGTGACGACAGTCATCGTCCATAACATTGATATTATGCAGACAAAGTGAGCCAGTTGAATGAAGCTGCGAAACGTGTGTTGGTATTTGAAGGAACCCAGTCAAACATCAAGCGTACAAGACTGCAGATACCTGACCACAAAAGGATCAATCAAACCGACACTGAATTGTGCAGTTAATCGACTCACAGCGGCTTTCAAGATAAGACGATCGCTTGTGAATTTTGCGAAATATACGTAGAACTGGCAAGAAAGACAGCCGAATAATGCAGCGCTTAAAAGCCCACCGACTTGGACCGGCCCAATGACCAGATTCGCATCGAAACCGTTGACTGAGCGTTCTGGGATGTGCATCGTGCCTACACTCAGTCATGCAATGTCATAAGAGACGGTCTAATCGTCGTATGTGACTTGCGAAATCGTTGAGTAGACGGTGATGCGAGGAGTCAGTGAAGAGAAAAAGAATACAGCGGAGATGTGTAGATATATAGAACAGTGCGCTTGACTTTCGAAACACCGAAGCATGGTGTCCGTCAAATCATGTGAACATGATAACAATACCCAATTTGCCGCATCAGAACAAACGTCAACAAAGTTGGTGCACATGGCTGCCACATTGCGATTGGGATCAATCTTTGATGTTCTATACTTGTGCTTACAGCGCATTGAAAATCCATTATCGCCGGAGACTACTTCGTGCGGTTTTCGGACAAAGAGTTGCGGCCGTTCGTAGGGCTGGGCGATGTCAGTCCTCCGAGTTCACGAATAAAGTGCCCAACTGGGATTTCACGTTTGCGATACGCTCGGCCTGATATCAGTGACATGCTAACTCGCACAGTACGTTACACCAGGCCAACCGTGGCCAACTTGAAGTAGCCAAGGACTCGCACGGGTGTTGGCAAAAATAGAAATGGTGGGATGGTTGAAGTCAACGTGAAAGTTCCTCCTCAATGTTCATGCATCTTTCAAACTCCGCGATAACACCTGGCGCAGGCTCATACGTCCCTTGTCGTCGTCCTTTGTTGTACTAAAATTTTGCATCTGGATTTAAATCTGGGTACTTGTTCATCATTTTAATTTTCTTCCCGAAGACCCAAAAGTGTGTGGACTTCTGCTAGTATCAACTAACACCGAAGGTCTAAATTAACGGTTTTATGTTTTGTTCATGCGTCCGACTTGCCCGCAGTGCATCAATGTTCCAGATGATGACACAGGTTTTGGATTTAATCCCTGGACTACCGAAGCTACTGCCAGCGTTCAACAAGTACACTAGCGCCTACTACTCCATCCCATGCGGCATGCAAAATGCCCTAATGTCTCCCAATTGTGTTGCCTGTCAGTGACACGAGTTGATTGGTGAGAAAACCTCTTGGTTTAGTCAAGACAAATTACTCGCAAATCGCCAAAGCCGTCTATGATGCTAATAATAATACAAATGCAGGATGCAAACAAGTGTCTACATTTTACGTTGAGTGTTCTCAATGACTTCGAATGAGAATATTAAATATTTTGGTGAACCACCGGGGCACGCCAAATCTCCACCTCTAAATTCGACCGAATTCCCAGTCCTCCAGCAGGCAGCACATCTTTGTTTGAAGGTCGCATTGTCTAAACTGCCAGCTGATCTCGAAACGTTGGTGGCGGAGGTGGCGGATACAGTCCCAGACCCAATTTTGGGAGTTCCATCGGGGATCGTGACGTGCGATTGGCACGCTTGCGAGATGTCTCTCGAATAAACTCAGCTGATGGGCGGCTACTCTTCCAATGGTAAAGCTTCCGCGCCAGTCATTGGTGTTTACGTGCGGCTGGTTGTGTCTGAACTCTATGGTGTAGGTGTCTGTGTTTCCCAGGATGTGGTACGTGTTCCCGATACCAGGACCAGTCGGGATATAGATAACCCAGTGAAGGGGATAAGGCTGAAGGTACTCTTTCTGGCCTCGCCAAAACTGGACGACTTCAACGTTGTAGTACGTAGCTGGGGCAGACATAGTATTGGAAGATGACTATGAAACTCGGTCAGTTCTTGTTCGCTGAGATTTTTTAATCTGTGTACTCACTAAAAGGGCAGACGACAGAGAGGTGAAGGATGGGTGAGTTTGAGTTTTGAGCTCATCGATGACCTGGATTTATATACCTAAGCGGTTGTGGAGTTTGGTTTTGGGAACAACGAAGTGTGGAACACGATATGACCACCATCTCCCGAAGAGAGTATCATCTGTCGTGCGCTTTGAATATGCTTGGTGGACCATAGATTGTCTTTCCACATCGGACGATCCACAATGACTCCGCCGCATTCAAAGCTGCAGGTGGATGCTATGCTAGGGCTTTGACCCCGTCATTGTTGTCAATCATCTTGTAATGGAACGCATCAAAGATGGCGTGATTGATTGTATCGCTCGTGACTCGTAAGTGTGCCAAGCTTATGGACATGGATTTCGTGCAGTGGCTCGTTCGAGCTCTTTGTAATGACATCATTATATTTTGTCAATCACTTGAATTAATGGATCGAACCAGTTGGACTTTTTTCATTCGAATAGTTAGGGTGCAGGAGCCCACACATTTCATCAGACATCACGTCTCGCACGAGAACCGCTCACTCGTTTTAAGAAAACTACATATATGATACTTCATGATAAGATGATAGGGTATAAGGCGGCCACTGCAAATATTTAAACCAGTCTCAAACTAAGCGCCTATGTGAACGAATTCGGTCTACTGCTCAAACGCAATCTTCCCGCAGCGTCTCTGCATCGGAGCTGTCGCTACCAAGCCAAAAAAAAATGGGGATAATCGGAACGCTACGCACGGAATAGCAATACAGGCTCAGCCTTCCGTGTGTTCCGGCCCAGCTTGGCTCGAAAGCCGCGGCTTTGGCCTGGCTTTGAGCGGCTCTGGCATCTTTGCAGGCCAGGCCAAAGCCACGAAAAACGGCTGGCTTCGGCTCAAGCTGCGGCCCAAGTACAAACGAGTGGAAAATATATAACAAATACTAGATTTCAATATCAGTATCACTATCAAACTCTGGGTCCGAGTTACAGTCACCAAGCAATAGACCATCCCATCATCTTCGTCATCAGCCTTCTCACTCAATCCATTCTCACCTGATCCATCCTCTATTTCGAACTCGTCAAGTTCATCCTCCACAACAGACGACGGCCCTCGTTCGCGGAACAGGAGGAAAAACTTTGATACTTGCTACTGAAAGCAGGGTATCCAATGAGATAGAGTGAAAAAGGGCTTGCAAGGTTGGTTGCATATGATCCTTGACATGAGTAACTTTGAATTGATGTAAAACTCTGCTTGTGTGCTAGTGAGTCTTGAGATCTTGAGAGTTCGTGCGTACTCACTCGGAATTACATAATATAGTGAACTCAGCTTTGGGTTTTTTCCATTTCTGTCCACCTGTGTCCTTATGTAAGGTGTTGGCAGAATCATGAGTTACAAAGTTACTACTAGCAGACAGTCACGGTTCGACTCAAACTGCCACACGCGCATAACCGTCACACCAAGAATACTGAAATCGAGAAAGCTTACATTTCAGTAGCAGCGACAGCATATGTATGGGAACTCAGGTAAGCCAGTGTGCTTACAGGAGGCCTTGAGATTGTTGTTTTCTCGGAAAACACAGTACTGATGCAACTTTTTGGCTTATTCAAAGCCTCAGAAGCCTGCGTACACTTCTGTATCTTGTTCACGCATCTAAATTCAAGTGGTATCACGTCGCTGCACCCCACGCCTGAAAGCCTGACGCTCCAAGTTCTAGATCCATCACTGTCGACTCGGATCACTGCGGGTCAAAGTTGAGATATTGCGGTTATCAATTCCTGGACTACCCTCGCGTCTGGCTAACAGCGTCTCGCTCATATCGAAGAACTCCAAGTACCACTTCACTGTCACCTCCTTCACCCCGATCCAAACGTGAGCGATGCTCAGATACCCATCTCCCACTAGTAATGCGAAGACATTCTTCTACGCGTCGTTTTTTCTGTCAGAGCTGGATTTTTAGTCTTGATTCAGTCAGGACAACGAAGGCCACTCACGATCGCTCCGAATAGTAAGAATATTATACACTTGATCAACCACTCGCCGCATCTCCACCTCTAAATCCGACCAAATTCCCAGTCCTCCAGTAGGCAGCACATCCTTGTTTGAAGGTCACATTGTCTAAGCTCCCAGCTGATCTCAAAACGTTGATGGCGGAGGTGGCGGAGACAGTCCCACACCCAGTTCTGACTGTTCCATCGAGGGTCGTCATACATGATAGGAACGCTCGAAAGGTGCCATTCGAACAGGGCCAGCTTACTTGCAGCCACTCTTCCCATGGTGTGACTTCCGCGCCAGTCATCGGGGTTTATGTGCGGCTGGTTACGCCTGAACTCCAAGGTATAGTTCTCCTTGTTTCCTAGAAGGTGGTACGTGTTTCCAATATCAGGACCGGTTGGGACGTAGATGACCCAGTGAAGAGGATGGGGTCGAAGGTACTCTATTTGGCCTTGCCAAAACTGGACGACTTCGACGTCATAGTATGTTTCTTCGGTAGACATATTAAGATGAGATTCTGGGACTGGGTTAGTTGCAGTTCGCTGTTTTTTTTTTTTAATTCCGTATACTTACAGAGAGAACAGATGACAGAGATCAGAAACAAGTGGGCTTGAGGTCTGAGCCCATCGTTCGCGTTTATATTCGAGCCGTTGTGGACTTTGTGTCGGGAACATCCTGTGGATGCAATATCGGACGCAATATGTCCATTGTTATTCAAACAGAATAGATGTGCAGTGTGGGTGGACCACCAATTGCATTTCCCGATGAGCCACATCTGATGCAAATTAGCCGGTTCACAGTTCGAACGCAGGTGGATGCTCCTGGGTGCTAGTAAGTTCATACCCTCCTTTAACTCCATTCATCGCATGATGTATTATAAAAATCAACATGATACACTGTGATTCATTGTATCGCACGCAAGTGTTCTACGCTTTTGAGATCAAAGAGGTGAACCTCGAAGGATATTTCGTTAGAGCCCTTGATATTGTTTGTCTCGCGAATGTGGAGATCAGTCAAATCACTCAGACCGTGTCGGTCCAGTGGAAAGTTACAGTGTAGAAGAGACCGTTATCCTAGTGGTGTCGTTGACTTGCAGAATAACTGGTTTATATACACAACATACACAAGGATTCGGTATACAAACGTGTGTGCTAAAATCAAACACGAACACTTAATGCAAATGAGGTCACGAACTAGCAACCTTACAGGGATTCTACACACATTAATACTATATCGTCCGAAGGCAAAATCTACTTCAGCAGTAGGTAGTATACATGGTATACATGAAATGTTGTGAAGGGATCAGTTCGCCCCGCAGATGGATAGCTCTCTCATTTCTTGTAAGACCGCCTCGACCTAACCATCACCAATGAGCAAAAAACGTACACGTAACAGCTGATCGTACCTGCGCATCCAGCTGACCTGCAGCATAATCATCTCGCACATTGTCCGGAAAATACCTGATCATAGTATAAGCCAAATCCCTACACATCATTTCCCAAACCCCAAACTCACCTCTGTACAGCGCTCATCTTCTCATATCCTTCCTCAGCAAATTTACATTGCATGCGAATCATAGCCTCAAAACTGGGATCAAAATACGGTATGCGCAGATCCAAGAGCTGCGGGAGCTCTGAGATGAGTTGATCGTTCATAAGCTCGAAAACCTCTTTCGCATCGTCGTGCTCTTGTTGTGCTTTTGGAAGCTTTGTAGGGTCTTCACTTGGTTTCTCGATTACCTTTCGTAGTTTGCTACGTGCAGCGTCGAAGTCCAGGAGCTGAGAAACCGTTTAGTCGAGTTGCTCGGGGCTGCCGCGTATCGATAGTAGGAAGCATCACCTTTTTGTTCCGTTTGGTGATATGCTCATTCACGACAGGGAAGTATGCATTCATCTTCCCCAGGGGTTCCATGATGGTCGTACGATAGGGACCTTCCTGTAGGAGATGATAAATAGATGGAATCAGCAGAAGCAAGTATCACTTACAAGTTCCCTCTGAATGCCCCCATCAAGCTCCTCTACTGCGCTCTTGAAAGCGTGACTTGCCATGGCACCATCTGATGAGCGATCTGCAGCGCCGTAGAAAGTCTCGATGGTCTCAGCCAACCGCGCTTGTGTGGTTGTCATCGCTGCGGCACTACTTCAGTAGGGTACATGACATAACAAAGCTAGATTACTTACAACGCATGGCATCCTGATATTGCTTGGCGTCCTTCTGCAATGCCTGACACTCCTTCTCGAAGCTGGGACAATTCAGATGACAAGGAGGCGGACTACGGGTGCACGTACGCTCTGTACTTGGATTCTTCATCTGCAAATTCACGGTCTATGGTGCGTTCGATCTGTCCGGTCTTTTGTAAGACCTGGGTGGTTGAAACCAGTCATGGGTAGCTCCGCGTAGGATCGAAGATGTGTTCCTACCGTGGTACCCGCCCTATTCAGCGACTTCTTGAACCTGGTGGATATCAGACCCTAGTGAGCTACATCAAAGTAAAAAAAGACAGACCCTGTCCAGCTCATGGTACTCGGTGAGATCACCCCGAAGAGGTTGTCGTTAAAATGTTGGAGACTCGCCCAGCTAGATCCCCAGGCACTAAATGGCTTACGTAAATCACACACTTTGTATCAACATTGCACTTTGTAGATTAAAGACAGACATGTCACATAGCATAGAGAACATGAGACCACTGCAAGACATGAAGGGATAGACTAGAGAAAAAAACATCAAACCTTACAAATACCAGGCTTTCACCCTATTTCGCGATACGTTCCTCCAAGGGCCTCGATGGTAATGGTTGTTGTGGTCGACCTCGGCCACCAGCACCACCCCTTCCTCTCCCAACGTCACCTTTACCGCGCCCCCTACCGCGGTTGATGTTTCCACGTCCTCCTGGAGTCTAGAAAGTTGTTAGCTCCTTAATTCAGGCCCTACTCAGAAAACCTACTGAAATCCGCCCTAGAAGTTGGGCTCGCCGCCACGAAAATCACGCTCCTCCACGCTGTATCCTGAATCCGAGAGACGCCGGCCATCCGCAGGCGTTAGTGTAATCCGGTCTGTAACTGCCTTCATTCCGTCCGTGCCTTTCAAATGTATTTCTCTCAGTGTGCGGCCTAATCTGACGGGAGGGCGAGGGCGACCGTAGTCGATCGTGAATTGAGCTGCGCCGTTCTAGTGAGGTAGAACGGCCCCTTTGCCACTCCGTTTCTATAGCAGGAGACTGACGGGAAAGTCCACTAGAATTTCGATAGTCTCGTTCTGGTGCATAATGACCGCCTCGTGGTCGACGGCGATCACGATTGTCATATTCAGTATCGTGCTCTGCTGGCCTCTTTCTGCTACTGTTCATTGGCGACATTGGATGAGGAGGAATGGGATGCACGTAAGCTCCGGCCTCATTCTGTTCGAGGTGCCGATGATGAGATGACGTCGCAGAGGTAGGAGGGGGAGAATAATGGTCTGAATAACGGGGAGCCCGTCGCTGACGCTGACTACGAGACTCGCCGCTGGTACCATTACCTCGGGTGAAGCCCGAGGATTCTGGGGATCTAGTTCGTCCATCAATTTGGGAATTCTGTCGAGAGCGTTGATTGGGATCGCGACGACAGGTAGATTCCGATGGCTCAGAATGAGAGGATATGGCATCTGGAGTCCATTCCTGACGGACCACAGAGGCATCCATGACCCAGGGACTTGGGCTGTTCGGTGCGAGCCCTGTCACTGACTCTGTTATACCCGCTGAACCATCCAGAGCATTGGAGCGTAAATGTGCACTTGGCACTTGAGCGATAACTAAGTTCGACGGAAGTTTGAGGAATATCATTTATTTGAGAAGCATCGGTGTTCGTAGTTTTAGCCTGACCGGATGGCGGATTGTCATTTGAAATGTGAACCATGGTATCGATAGTAGATCGCGTGGATGATCCTTTTTCAAGGAGACTACTAGTCTGCTCCTGACCATGAGACTCCCCAACCACCAGTTCTTCTGTTTTTATCACCTTGATAGGAAGCGGGTTATCAGGTTGTTTCACGCTCCGATCTCCAGCAGCACTCTCCTCAACACGATGTCTGTTCTTCTTGATGTGTCGCAAATTCGCAGCTCTCTGAGCTGGTGAGAGATTCGCCTGTTGACTGACAGCCCATTCAGTCCACTCATTGCTATCGCTAGCAAGAATGGTACGTGACTTGGGAGTGCTGGGCAACGCGACCTTTTTGGAAGTCGGCAGAGGCCCGTCTGATAGGGGGGGAGAAGCAGAAAAATGTAGAGAGAACTCAGAAGCCAGTTGGGTCGAAAACAAGGGCGCGTCAGTGATCACCTGTCTCCCGATGTCAGTGGAAGCCGACACAAATGAGGGTGTCTTATAGGAGGCTGGGGCAGTTGACGATGACGTGGGAGTTGACATTGACGATGAAGGGGGGACCGTTCGAGGTTGATGCACCAAGCATAACATTGCCCGAAGTTCCCTGAGAATGAGAGGTCTTTTGTTCGCGAGGCAGGCTTTTTTGGCGGAATACCTTTTTGACCTGGCAATGGCACAGTATGGTCGAGCGGCGATGCTAATTCGTCCACTTCCGTACCCATATTCATATCTTCTAGGCCATCATCATCCGTCGTAGAGACTACCATGTGTCCGGCACGCTCAGCGCGGATGCGAGCAGCATTTTCCGATGTGGTCTGCTGTTTGATCGCAAGCACTTCAGCGCGACGCCTGTTATATTCAGCCTGCCTATCACGCTGGATGTTTTGCGACTGTGCCTCTGGGTGTGCCAACTGCTGACCGAAGAACTTTCTGTGTTGCAGTTTTTGTTCTTCATCAACCCGTTTCTCAGTCTCTTCTGTTTGGACCCTCTGCGCATCCTCTTCGACCCAGCTGTCGCTCTGCTTCGGAGGCCTGCAAACGCGTCTTCTTCATATTCTGGAGGGTATCGAAAGATTGACGAATCAAAGCGATTTGCTTTTTGAGATTCTCGGTCAACTCGCGTCGGTAAACCAAAGACTTGTTATGGTAATCGACCGCCTTAATCTCTTCTTCAGTCATACCATCCTCCTTCTCAACACGAGGTTCGATATCGGCAAAAAGTTGGAGTGGCACTGCATTATTTTGGGCCAGAGTCCTTTCTCTCTCGACACGCTCTTTCTCTGTTTCCCACTGTGTCTTCTCAGCCTTTACTTCTTGGAGAAGCTTCATCGCTTCATCGATCTCTTTCTGAATGGCCGTTCGTCTTGACTCGTCCTCGAACCTTCGCTGATCGTCTTGCGCACGGCGTTGAGCATCTCGAGCGCGCCTCGTTTCTTCTCGGAGTCGCGATTCCTCCTCCAGCGCCACGAGTCTCTGTTCCCTGGTGCGCAGCTCGTCCAGCTTCTTCTGAAACATTTGCATCTGAGCTTCACATTCCGCCTCCCTCGTGAGCATGTGTTTCTCGAACGCCTTTCGGCGTTCATCGAAGTCCATGCGCTCTGTTTCAAATACTTGGTTTGCATCAAGTTGTAGTTTGACAGCGCCCTCGGCGACGGATTGAAGCTTTTTGATGACTTGCACTAATGACTCAGTGCGGATGTTCCGCGAGGCTAGCATATTTGAAGATTGCAAATTCGTCAGAGTAAGGGCGTTACCATCGTCAGCTGGCAATACTTCTTGATCCAGGGAACCATTTGAAGTGGAATTGCTTTGAGGATACGGGTGTCGAAGAACAATGGCACTAAGATCCTCCACATTCATTTCACTGCGAATGCTGGCAGCTAAGTCGGGTATATCCGGAGGTGGTGCAAATGGGGATGGGGTCCTGACAGACGATGTAGGAAGAGCAAGAGATACAGTTTTGCTCTTTTCTAGAAGCCTAGCGTATAAAGCAGATAATGAGTCTTGTGCAACTTGCTCTGTAGATGTTTCAGGCTGCACAACGTCTGAAACTTGGCTTGAGCTAGTCCCAGCCGTTTTAGAATTCGGAGAAAGAGATACTGATGGCATCAACAAAGGTGAACTCGGGGTTGCTTGAGGAGAGAATCCTACGGAATGATGTGATTTAGGCGACCCAGACGGATTGGACGATGACAAAATGTTACGATTGGATTGTTCAGTGGTCGGAGTTACAATAAATGAGCCTGGATAGACGAGTCCGGGCGTTAACGCCTCTCTGACTTTATTGGCGGGAGCATTGGCGAGGGCTTGCACTTGCGATGTGTTTGACTCGGAAGTAGGGAGGAGAACCTCAATTGGAGGAATTAAGTGAGGGTTTGCGGGAACGTAACGGCTTGCGATCTATCCGTGGTGCAGGGAGCGGTTCACGTGCTGGATGAAGATTTTGGGATTTTGCTGAGGAGTTGAGTTGTGAAGGACCCATTTGAATTCGCTCAGCCAGCTTTCGCGAATTTGTAACTGGGGCATGGGTAGGCACTGGGGGTGGAAGATGCAACGTTGGTGGTGAGGGAGAATGAAAGGACATTTGACCTGGATCGGGCGCAGAAATGCGACTGAGTAAATTGGGCGGTTTTCCGATGGTACCGAATTGGATATCTGCAAAACTAGGTGGCGGTTGGTGAACAGGGACCGACATACGGACCCCATTGCCAGTCTGCATTGAGTCGGATCCAAGCTTGGTGGTTAAAAGTTGAGAAGGAGAGCCAAACATTGACTCGGACATGATATTGTTGTGGAATTGATAATGATCAATTGATACGTTTATATATGCCTGTGCGCAGTATTGATATAACAGTGGGAGGAACTCAAGGAAATGAAGCGGGCGTACTGATGTGAAAGAAATTGCAATCGTGTCGCTGATAGACAAAAACGGTCAATAAGTTGAAAGACGTTTGGAACGGATTCAAGTATTCAGTCCAAATGGTTATGAGACAAAGAGCAGATCATTACCAACTTGGCACGTGTCTTCGGCAAAACCCGTAAGGACTGTCTACTTGCTGCCCACAACTCGCGTCTGAGCTGTTTCACGTTCGCCGTGCAGATGAACCTCGCTAATCAGCTCGAGCGGACATGGTCTCGAATTATATCTTGATGACGTTAAATCCCGAAGCATCTTCACCCTGTCAACTTCGAACTTCGGACATCTATCTCATACCCATCAAGTAGCCGCGATAGGCCACGGTATTCCACGAGTCCAATGCCTTAGCGAGCAGCCGCGAGCTGATAGTCCGATTGGTACATATTGACGGTTCAGATCAGTCCCCGAGCACAGCGTATTGAAAGCGAAACGAATCTGATTCGATGAATTTATCCTAATCACCAAATATCATTTCCTGCAAGAGCACTTCGGCAACTCAAGCTCAAAGCGCGTTACTATATGTATTACACACCAGCTATGGAGACGCTGCATATCTGTCCTCCTGCATCTGTGGTAGACGCAACCTCGACCTTATCTGTGAACTTCAACAGGCTCCTCATTCCCAACCAATCATTACTTTTTGTCAAATCCAGTCACAACAATCGGACTGTTCCCTATAACCTTGCATAACTTAGTATGAGCACAACGAACAGCTTAGAAGGTCCCGGGGGGGGGGGGGGATTTTCGATTCCAAGGCTGGTCATTGCTCAAGTCTGTGGGCTCTTGAGTGCCGTATTATTGGGTTGCCTTGCTTGCCAATCCTACGTGTATTTCGCAAGATTCTCAAGTGATCACTTCGCCCTCAAATTAATTGTGAGTCGATCAACTGTGTAATTCATTGTGGACTTTGGCGCTTCCTGTAGCGGTAGACCTGCCTATTCCATTGAGCGGGTTTACGGTATTCGTTGCGCAGGTAAGTGATTTTCAGCTTGGTATTTTCATTATTTGGTGCTCACAGGCAATATCAGTCGTTTTACGTATTCCGACTTTGGAAGTTCACGAGAAATGTTCCAATATCCATTCTTTGCGGGGTGCTCGCCGTGGGTGCACAGATTTTGACACTCATTGATCAAGTAATGGCGACCTTAACGACGGACCTTTCGACTTTTGGAGACCTTCAATTTTTACTGACTGCGATTATTATCATCGTACGCGCAACCTGTGACATGATCACTACCGCGTTGAGTTTAAGAAAACAACGATGCGATGATAGCAGCGAGCATGACTATTCATCTAACGTCAGCTTACATCTATCATGCTTCATAGCGCGGCGACGATGGTTAACCGATTGATTCGCTGGACAATCGGTAAGAGAGGCAGCGTCTTTATCGGATGCATGTACTTTTTAACGTCACCTCTACACAGAAACTGGACTGATCACCAGGAATTGAGTTCTTGTATAGATTCTAAAGTGTTTCCGTCAACGATTCATCATTTTAATGGCCATTGCATTGGCGACATGGGTAAGAGCTTCACCACCTATACCATCGGTAGCATTCTTTAACTAGCTTCAAGTTTATAGTCGTGAAGCAGAGCTATGAGCATATTCTACCGTACTCCACAGTTTACAGCAACTGAAGCGACGCAGACCCGTGGTTTGCAGTGCAGTATGGTTGTTATGGTCTAACGGTAATGATATGGAATACCTCAAAATTCAATATATTGACCCCCATTTTGTGCAGTTGTAGCGAACTCTTTGTTAGCCTCGTCAATCGCTAAACGAACCTGGCACATGGTAAACACGATGAACTTACCGATGTGACATTCATGTTAAATCGGCGGTTGCTCCTTCGGGAGAGTTGGAGGGCTCCAAGAAGTTGTGCCCGGAGTCGTGTCAGTGTGGTGAGCGCCTTCTGAATTTTTGCATGGTAGTTCTAATTCTGTTTCAGAACACGATTATCATCAGAGCTGGAGCTACGAAATCACAAGTGGACTCACTAGCATTGGAGAACTCCAGAAATATCAACGTTGAAATGTTCCAAGCAGAAGAAGGATCGACTGGAATACAAGCAACTTTAAAATCATGCGGTGGTCCATACGCAGTTGCTGACTATCAAGCGGTGTAATTTCATATTATGTATGTGTCCGTCCATAGCGATGGAGACACGAGGCATGCCGAGTTTGCGGGTAACGTACACTTGAAGGATGTGTTACAGTACACTGATAATCATTAATGAACGTTAGATATGTATGCTCTCGGGTACGCTTGCTGAGGAGTGTCCGGTTACCTCTGAATTCTTTGAGTAAGCTAAATGGGACTTCCCATTTTCGCACTATTACACCGGCAACAGCTTGAACCTGAACCCAACAACTTCGTGGACTCACCGGCTCATAGTCGAAATGATGAACTCGAGTATTCGGTTGGCACAGAACTCATGCTGCTTACCGTGACCGACGCACTCGACAGGGCTCATGGGATTCCTTGATATCGGGACTCGGGCTGACCAAACGCCAAAGTCAAACATCGATAACATCACATGCATTATATTCACGCCAAGATCAGGACAATGTCATGATGAAAACATACAACCAACTTCGTATCGCAAGGCTCCATCTATCCATTAATATTCCATGCATACAAAAGTAAGTAGGTATACAAAGTGATTAAACAAATCATCAAAAATGACATCCATAGTCTTCAAAGAGGCGGTGTTGCAGACGACCTCCAGCACCATGACAGCGCCGCAGACAACCTCCAGCACCGCAAAGTACTATGTAAGTAGGTGAAACAGGAAAAATATCGATATAAGTATGCACTAGCGCAGAATCAAGAAACAACACTGACTGAATGCTTAGCCATAGCCATAGTAACTGTATGATAGTATACAACTAAGAAATCTAGGGAAATCATGGTATGATGATGCGGTGAGATTGTATATGGAGACAGTGGAAGGAATGATCAAGGACAGCGAAATAAGGACGATACTCGAGACATGGATATAATGATTTCAGATGGAATGGAAAAGGAAAAGGGAAAGGAAGATGTGGATGAAGGGATAAATAATTCCAGCCCCTAGAACGCCGACGACGGCGATAGGAAAGATACAAGGAAAAAAAAAACACCTTACCCCTTCCACCTCAATACGGCCCGAAACTTGTAATAGCCAAACACCCCAACCAAACCATCTCAACAGCAGCCCTCCCAACTGGCGTCAACAAATGCTTCATCTCCGATGTCGGAATCTCCAAATAAATAGCCCGAGGATTATTAGCAGCAGGCAACACCACCTCTTCTTGGAGACACAAACCAAGCTTGCACAGTCCTTCGGGCTGGAAATGAAACCCGTTTTCGCGCGAGCTACACATGCAGATGACAGTTTCGATTCCGAGCGCTGTCCCCGTCCCTGACTGGGATGCTAGTCCCGGCTGTGATTCTGGTTCTTCCCGATTCCGCACCCCACCAGGACCCCCAGCATCCAAAGCAGGTCCGCCAACCGCCAACCCATCACTAGGCACCCTAATTCCCGTCCCCCTCAATTCATCATACCCCACCAACCGCGCATTAACCCGAAAATTTCTCAAATAAATATTCTTTTGGTTAGATTCGGCGTCGGTGTCGCTCGTCGAATTCGTTTGTTTCAGTTTTTTCTTGTTGACGGATGAGGACGCGGAGTTGGAGTTGGAATTAGAGGAGGAAGTGTTTTTGTTCTTATCTTCGAAGGGGACGTACCAGACGAGGAGGAATTGGCGGTCTTCAGGGATTGTGAGTGTGGCGCTCGTGGCCGTCGTAGCGGCCGTCGCAGTTGTGGAGGTGGTGCTATCTTCGCTGATGCTGCTGCTGCCCGCCATGATGCTCCCACTCCCCACGCCACCTCCCGCACCCGGATCCGTCTCCCCCGCCCAAAGTGGCAGAAGCATATAAAGTGAGTCCTCCGGGACATAATCAAAAACATCATGCGTCACCGCCCTCTTCTTCGCCCCTCCCCCCTTACCCGTCCTATGACTTGGTTGCGTATGCAACAACCCAACATCCCTAAACGAATTATTCAAATCCGTGAGCACACGCACATGTTCTTCATTCTGGTCTCTGCCAGCAGTGACGATCCACGGTGGACTATACGCATTTTGGGTTGTCGCAACTGGTTGGGTGATGTTGTCTACTCGGTTAGCTGCGCCCCGGAAGCGTCGGAATATTCGATTCGCGAAGCTGCTGTTGCCGTCGGTGGGCTTTTGGGCGCGCCGGAGATGCTCGATGTCGTTCGGGTCGAGGGTGCCGAAGGCTTCAGCATGCGGCGTACGTGTGGGAAGGTGTTCATCAGAGTCGATGCTGTCCCGATGGCTGCGGATGTGCGAGGTCGCTACGCTCGTCGAGGAATCGGAGGAAAGGAGTTTCTTAAAGGAGTGATCGAATGTTGATGAGGTCTCTGGTGATGAAGGCCCGCTCGTAGACTGGGCCTTTACAGGTGACCTAGGCGACACGATCGAAGATGCGAACGTGATCTTGGATGACGTAGCTCGTGCAGGGGCAGACATCACATGAGAAGCGCTAATGCTCCCCGTACTACTCGTCGTTGCGCTCGACTCCGTACTCTCAGTCGGATTACTCGCGCGGTCACGGTCGTTATTCTTCTTCGATTCTTTCTTCTTTTCCTTTCCTTTCGCCTTTGCTTTCTTTGCGTCCTCCTTTTCCTTCTCCCGCCGTTTTTCCTTCTCAAGAAACGTAGCACGACGTGACTTATCACTTCCGTTGCCGATGGCTTTGCGAGATCTATCCTCAAGTAGCCCATGCGTAATGAGTTTACTCGTCGTTCTCGTACTCGTATATTGTTCCTGTACTTTCTTCGGTGCGAGCATGATTCCCCCGCTCGTGTGCATATGGATATTGCGAGATCCAGTCCCAGCGCGTTTAGACGTGAAAAGCGAATAAGAGCGAAATATGGAGAATGCGGTTGCGCGAGAATGCTTGTGAATGACGGTGCTCGGACCGCTTGTCTTAGGACCCTTGAGGAAGGGATCGGGGATATGCCGGATGTTGATGCGCTGTTGGGCAGCTTTGGCAGGGTCTGCTGTGGATGCTGCTAGTGGGATATTAGTACATAAGACGAGGACATAAAAAGGACGTACGTTTGAAAACAAGTCTATCGACTCGAAATCGACCGACGTGCCCACTCCTCCATATTTCTTGCGTGCCGGGGTACATGGTGCGCTTTGTCTTGTCCATAATCACTGGGGCACCTGCCTGGGCATTTGGACGGCGTACGTTGGGGACGGGCTGTGCATCTGCTTTTTCCTTCCAAAAAGCCCACTGGTTTTGAGTGTCATACATGCCGATGTGCTTGGCAAAGGTATCTTCACCGCTATTGGTAGTTTGAAGTGTACCGGTGCTGGTACGGCGTCCGCTGCCATTCCATATGTTGGAGAGACGAGAGGAGGATGGTTCGCCTGTACTGGTGCTGTTGCGCGCAGGAGCGAGAAAGGAGAGCTGTGCAGTGGATCGGACAGAATGAATGCTTCCTTCGCTCTTTCTTGAGAGAACATAGGACAGGTCCCAACCTGATGCCCATGTATCTGATTCTGACTGCTGCTGTTGTGCCTGAGCCTCGAGTGAACGAAAATCAGCGCGAGTGAGGGGTTCACTGCGTGGTGCGACAGCAGCTGGATCTTCCTCGGTGTGAGAAGGCATGAAATCGTCGTCGAGGCTACGGGATGGACGACGGATGGTGAGGATACTGTCTTCGCGGCTACGATTGCTGACTGCATCTGATATTGCGCCTGGGATTGCCATTGGGAGGCTGCCACGACGGCGCTCTGAGAAGAGGGGACGAGGATGAAAGACAGGGCTATTCTCATTCTCATCTATGTTATCGAGGTCACGGGCGAAAGTGACGGGTGAGGAGCCTCCGTTGTATGAAGCGATCTCTACTTCCTCATCACTGCTAAACTGGAGGTCTGAGCGGAGACTTACACGTGAGCTTGAGCGGGAGGAAGTTATCGAGGCGGTTGAGTAGCGCACTGCTGGTTGACCGAATGTGTGCTGGCTGACGTTGTCTGGGATCAAACGACCCCTTTGGAAACCATGTCTCGGGTGGAGATCGGGTGATGATGGATCTTCGCTGCTTTCTTCATCTGTATGCTCTGTTCTGTGTGATCTTGAAGAACGCAAAGATGATGGAAAGGCATTTGAAGCTGGGCGTCCTAGACCCTGCGAAGGATGACTGGTAAAAGTTGAAACGGATGGACGAGGGGTCCTATTAGCGCCAGTGCGGGTTATTGGAGTGAGTGGGCTGATTGCGTCTGGTGACTCGTCGCCTGATGAAATTGAGCGAGCTTCACCAAAAGTGAAAGTTGCGAGATTAGAATAAAGATTATCCTGAGAGATAGATGACATCGCAGGCTTATGTCGAGAAGGTGGAGCTGTGAGAGAAATGGGTGGTAGGATAGAAGGACTGATTATTATCAGTTAAGAGTGATTTTCCAAGTGACGGAATGTTTGAGAACTCACACATCTTCTACTTGATCACTTAAAAATTTTGGATCTACAATATGTAAACCCAATGAAGATGACATGTTCACCGGAGAAGGCAGTCAGGCTTGACAATCCTTGAAGAAACATAGGCACCCACGTGGCAACGATAGAACTTTTAAAACTCCGACTTTCCTAGGTACTCCTACTACTTACATCTAACGGCACCCAGGGTTATATCCTATTTTCATCAACTCACCCTTTGCGTAACGGAGCTCGAGACCCACTCCCGCGAAACCTCATGATGATGTCATTAGAACAAGCGTCGAGCGCCAATAATTGACAGTGGCACCACGCTGTCAGAGTCACTGGTAAGGTCCTCAGGAGTGGCCGCCTCCAATGACGGTGAACGCGCGAGAAGAAGGGGAGTCCGAGTGCCAGCGTCCCTGTAACAGCCACTTGTCTTGCAAATTTCGAGGCTTACTCATGTGCCGTGCTCGTACACGCAGTCGACCTTGTTCCCGAGTGACACGAATCTCTACCGAGCAGCGAATTGCATCGTACAACCCATCCCTCATGGCATCACATATCCACACTCAAGACATCAGATTGAAATTACCCTGCGAGCCGCTGCACACTGATCGGTTCCTGTGCAGGGCAACACTATCAGTCATCCTATCAGCCCCCACTGCTACTAAAATTCTACCACACTTCATTCCAGCTGTCGATGCGCACCATCTTCATATATCATCTATCTCGTGAGAATGTCTCTTCAGGCTCTGTGCTCTGTGCGATTTTTACTTACGGAATGGCAATCAACAGTACTTTCCTTTACGAAACACAGACTTCTTGTCTTTGCGGAACTCAAGTTCGTACATGGTCGGGATGATGTTATCATAAAAACGCCTCAAGCGGTGATGGCTGACAGCGTGGTACCTTCTCGGTCCGCCTTATTATTTAGCGGTTGCAATACATACGTATGTACTCCAGCGGCATGCCGTTTAATGTTTATGCTGCTTTTTAGGGATCAAATTTCTGTCCTTTGGGACAATGTACCCTATGTAGGACGGTGTCTAGTGTCCGGGCCCCTTCCAGCGTGGGGAATCCCCCGCCGGACCTGCCGGACCTTTTAGATGTGTCTAAAGATGATTTGACCGGTGTATGTGGTATTATCTGAAGCGGCTGCCTTTGTAAATCTCGCAGAGGCTGGGCCCTCGACGCGGGATACATACAATGGCGATTAATGTGACGGGCTCACAGATGGACAGCCTTGACCAATATTTAATATCAATCTCGCGACCACCGTATTTTCTCCTTGTCCTGTCCTTCAACTTTAGGATTTGTGCTGGAGAGCTGAGAATGTATATTTTTGTTCCCCTCATCTCGTCGAACGGCGTTTATACCTGAACATATTTTGATATTCTCACTCTGATATCAACACCCATTCTAGTTCAAATCCGAATGAATGAGTCCAAGGTGGTTGTTTTAGAACCAGCGGTTCTCATAACTTTCCACCAAAGATGAAAAGTGCACCTCAGCGACGTTGCAGACACCGCAAACATTAGCTTGATTGACAAATCTCTTGAGCGCGTGGTTTTGTATTAGAGACGTCTGTTTTCCGTGAGAGGTTAATGAATGAACTCCGATTTGTTAGATTAAGATGCGGAGCAAGACAGTGCAGCATGTGTGATATGTCAGTATTAGCTAGATTATCGACCATGTCTGTAGGCACTTCGTGGTCAGACTTGACATGGTTCAACAACAAAGATGCAGGTGAAAGTGGAAACTAACCTGGAGGCTTGCGCGCATGTCACGTAGCATCGGCAATGAGAAGTCCACACCACGTAATGTGCTTGGCCTGCTGATAGCTGGGTGTATGTGTGTATACAAAGTTCTAGCGGGGCTAGAGTTTATGTCAGGATGCTTCTTGGGCGCCATTGTTGAACATGCGCTAGTCGCAAGGTCGCTTATTGGTCTGGCATGGTTTCAAGGCGCCTTCAATGAAGTTGGTAGAAACAGTGGTACTCACAGGGTCTAATGCTTTCGGTATCAGGCCATCTATTCAATTCAAATAAAAAAATTTAGAATGTCACGGTTAGCGTACACACTGCAATACAGCCTCCCATGGTCGACCATTTGGCCAGCTATCTCGTTTACCTGATACATGAGGCCATACACAATCCCTAAAAGCATATATTAGCTTATATCCTGATGTGGGAGTGAGTGATTGCAGTACATTGAAGGGCCGCCCACTTGGTATTACTATATGCACTGTCAACATTAAGTTAGCCTAGAACAGTCTAGAACGACATCGGATAAAACTTTGAAGGGCGCCAGAATTGCCGCATTGGTTATGACCGAGTCCGAGTTCAGCTTGAATCAAGGGTTTGTGTGTCGCAAAATCCATGTTTTGATTGACTGATAAAAACTGCCGATAGTCAGAGTCCATGAAAATGACAGAGGCTAGAGCACGACAAACACTAAACGTCTCGGGCTCTTTAGGCTCACCGAACAAATTACAAAAGACTGTCCCTATTTCTTTTAGTCACGGTGTTCCAGAAATGAGACGTTCATCCATCCTGTGCGTAGAGAGGCAGCAGTGCCTTCTGATCTGCCGGACGCATGCTTAGCCTCTGCTTCCCTCGCTGCGGTTGTAGGGTCTCCTGGACTCTTGCCTGCAGAAACATTCACAGAAGCCTGTGTGTTGACAGGGTCTTGTGCAGACAGTGTCTATCGCCGAGTGCCAAATACAATAGGCATGACTGCATGGTCAGACGACCAGACCCTATCCGCACTGATCGTGGGGGCAGTGGAGAATAACTCGAGCACGTTACTAACGGGTTCGATTGTGGGATATAGGGGTTTTCCGAAGCCACTGGACATGAGTCTGCACTGTGCAGGCGAGGCCTGGATCACAGTGAATGCCCTCGTAGGTGGTCGGGTAGTTGGATGGCATCACATCCACATTCCATGCCGGCGAACACGACCTCGAGTGCTGTAGAACTTGTCAATTCGGTGAGTCATTTGTTTGAGTCACAAGGCGATTGACCGGGTACGACTAGTACTATAGCTGTACATATGAATAATATCTTCAGTTTTTCGCGTTTACCTTCCTTTACTAAATTATAGGGTGGTCAAGGCTCGGAAGGTTTCGGCCAGCAAGGTTCAAAGTCGGTAATTCCCGAGTGTCATCCTGCTTGGTACCACAAAGGTACCGAAATGCTGGAGCGGGCCCGCATCGATGCAGCTGCACCAAGTTCTTTTCATATTTGTCTTTGGGCGCAAGCTATTTTAGACGAGCGTCTTTTCTACCCTGCCCGAATCGCAGCCCACTGAGCCCCTTCAAAACCTTGAGGCAAATGGACTTCTGGACCCTTGAAGTGGACAGACTTGACACCACGATGAGACGGGCATTCGCTGGCAGCTAGGAAAATCTTGTGATATTTGCAAACGTCTTACTACTGATACTCTGTTGTGATATCTATGACGGAAGAAGTCTTGCAGCTCAAACAGGTCGATGTAGGTATCTATCATCGTGTCATAAATTCAAGTCTGTCAGGCTGCAAGGGCTTATCCTATCAAACCTTCCAAGTCCATGGGGTGCATGAGGTATGCAGTGTACCCTGAAATTGATCAAGTGGCTTCAGGTGACCGCCAATCAACAACGATGCATCGGATGGCATGGAGGTGGCGGTGGACTGTGAATGCAAATCCATCAACAATAACTTCAAAAACTATCTTAATCTTGGAAGTTGCGCCTCACGGCCTTCACCTCATCTATATATCTTTGGCTCCTTTGACGTTCAGCAAACTCAGATATCGGGATTCTGCCTCACTCGGACTGCACCCTCCCCTTCTTGCTGTAGTTCGTGGTAGTACCTTGATGGCTTCCGCATCTACTACCGAGTGTCACATCATTCCAAGAGAACAGCTCACCGAAGTGAAGAAATTTCCGGCAGCTGTGGGAGGATATGGACAAGTTTTTCAGTGTAAAATGCAGCAACCAGGGCAGCCAGAGGAATTCGTAGGGTTATTCATTATTGACACTATCTCTGGTATTTACCTCTCCCAGGTAGCTGTCAAAGTCCTAAGACGCGTTTCCAAGAAGGTTGACCTTAAAGTTCGCTTTTATTTTTTACATGAAACATTATTAATAACGTACTACTGCAGCATGCACGTCGTGAGATGAAAATATGGCAGACAGCAATACATGAAAATATCGTCCGTATGCTCGGCATTACAGATGGATTTTCAGAAGAATGTTTTGCTATGGTCTCTCGCTGGATGGAAGGTGGAACCCTTGCACAATATCTCAGGGATCATGAAGAAAACATACCTTGCATGAAAAAATTGACTTTGGTGCGTAATTTTTTGTTTCACCGACACAACCTGTTCAACTAGATCGCAGATCAAGGATGTCACCTTTGGCTTGGAATATCGTTTGTTGTGATTTTTGTCAGGCACTCCATTGTATATAACCAGCTTTTTACAGTACACTCTCATCTGATTGTCCACGGTGACCTCACGACTGTAAGACGTGTATCTGTTATATGAGACAGTCACATTAATCACCCTTTGCTGGCAGAATAATGTCATGCTTGATGATGAAAGTGGAAGAGCGTTGTTAATCGACTTCGGGTTATCGAATGTGCTTGATGGCATGGCTGGTAGTTGCTACTCGCTCTCTGCAGCACGACCAGGGGCAGTGCGATTTGCTGCACCAGAATTGTTTATCGTAGGAGAGGCGACAAGCCAACCTACTGGGAAGAGTTTAGCGGTCGACAATGTTAATGAGTCGCTGCTAATAATGCCAAATATGCCTAGCGACATTTATTCCCTTGGCTGTGTAATGCTAAATGTAGGTCCTTCTCGACTATTGCCGTTCTTCCGAGGAGCTCGCTGACTGCTGGAAAGATCTTCACAGAAAAGCTTCCATGGTTTACCTATCGCTCTAATGATCTAGCTATTATTGGTGCTCATCACGCCAAAAAATCGATGCCCATTCCTTCCCACAGCCATCTATCTAAGGAACGCGAACAATTTATCTGCAAGTGTGCTTCAGTTCAAGTTTGCGGAAGGCCATCAAGTCAAGACGCTAAAGCTTTCATCGAAAAGCAGATACTCATTGAAGACACTCAAGCTCCAATCCAGCAGTCGATGATAGAGGCTAATAGAGATATCCCTTCTATCGTCTTACACAGGCTAGATACGGAGATACCAAACCACATCCAGGAACCAGTTGTAGATGTAGTTGGTTATCTGCACCCCCAAGGCGACGGCAACACCCCTTCCATCTCCCCTGTATCGTCATATGCAACCCCCTTAGTGAGTCCTGTCGATTATAACCGCTTCTCAAATACTAACCGCACGCAAAATGTGTGACATTACATGCAGACGTCACAGCCAGCTGATTCGCATGACTGTGTATGTTCACAAACTTGCAACGCGTCCAATGTGGCACAGCCATCACCTCAAGTGCCAAACACCTCGATGCCAGATGGCAATGAATCACATGTGACATTGCAGCCAGCCGATTCAAATGATGGTGCATCTTCACGGATTCATGATGTGTTCACCATGACACAGCTATCACCTGCATCGGAAAACTCCTCAATAACAGATGGCAGCAACCCACTTGTGGCGCCGCAGGCAGCTGATCCACATGATGGTGCATCTTCACAAACTTGCAAGACGTCCACTGTTGCACAGCCACCGCTCGTATTACCAAATACTCCAATACCAAATGGCAATGACCCACCTGTCCTCGTCAGTTCGCCGACCAGAAAGGTATCTTATACTCCTAGTTTCGGGTAGTGTGTCACTAACAGACAAGTCCAGTGTAATGTTGTCATTGCCGGGGCCGTTGGTTCTGGGAAAAGCTCCCTCGTCAATCTTTTATCTAGGAAACGTGTTGCTGACACATCAATCGATGCTGGGCGCTGCACTAGAGAGTCCAAGGACTACCCAATTTCTTTTCGCGACACCGCCTATAGGGTGTTTGATACTGTTGGGTTTGCATACAGCAACGGTCCTTCCTCTGTGCCCGAGGATCGGCCAAAGAAGTGGGGAAAACGGCAGATCGGGAAAATATCCACCCAGGGCAGTATCGACTTGATATTGCTCTGCGTGACGAGCAGAAACTTTCATGTACAAGCGGCGCTCGACGCTCACAAAAAGATCCAGGACGAACTGAACGGAAGAAAAGTGCCTGTCGTACTCGTTGTCACTCACTTTGAGGAGCAGCCTACCAGCAACAGATGGTGGTCTGAAAATTTGTCGATGTTTCAGTCTCAACTACACTCCATCACTGAACATACTTGCATCAGTTTGAGTCACGACAAATACAAATACTTCGAGGAGTCCCGCAAGCATATCTTCCAGATCATGGCGCAGTATGGCACCCGGGCCTCTGATGCAAGGGAGCTGCTGCAGGAGTCGTCTGGAGGTGACCATTCCGCGTCACATTCGAGAACCCTCCTAGATGATGTGGTTCGGGCTCTTCACATCAACCAATTGTCCGTGCAGGTCCGCGAAGTTGTCATGAAGGGTTTTGGTCTACTACCACGTTCCTCCTGAGCAAATCGGGGAAGTTGCCATCGTCGCAGGAAACGACCGTTCCCAGATTCCTGTGTATGGTATGAGAAGTATACTTATTATCGTTATATGGGTGTATCTATATTTACCATTCTCGCCCCTTTATATAAATACGTGCCAGTACTCAATACTCAGTACTTATTATCCTTACCTTATGTTATTAAGACTTATGATTCCTACTGACGCATCCCGACCTGACAAACATGAGGTACTTACTCATGAAATCACGAATGTCTACTTCGCAGCACCAAATAACTCGAATAAGTATTACGGGGACGATATTACCCAAACCTATGTTCAAAAAGTACAGTAGATAGGTACCACGACGAGAACTTGTCTCCCTGCATACAAACGGTGACCCGCTCATCGTAAATCAATCAAATCAAGCATCTCCAGTATTACACGCCGCTGCTAGTTGACAAGTGACCGCGCTTTGGGAAATCAATTGAGGTCGTAGCGGTAACGATTGCCGTATCAGGGTCGGCTAGTGCATATTCTCGAACGCTAAGGATCAGGCGTGGTCCCAGCACAAACATTTGCGCGAATTGGAATATTTGAGCGAAACCAAGATAAACCTGAGTTTCTGTAGAGTTTGTATTCTATAAAAACGATGAATTATGGCCTCACGGAAAGACCGGCAACAAACGGCATACCGCTGAGAGCGTCGGAGAGAAAAACCCGACGTAGAAACAAGAAACTGCAACAAAACTAGCACGTGCATAACTTCAGCGGAAAAGAGAACTACCTTCGCATTATGAGCTCACCTCGCAAAATAACTGACGTGAGTTTTCATGAGCACCGCGTAACAGTCCTCGATTATACATCCTGTTGAGTATTGTCGCAGTTCACGCAAGTGCTTCACAGCAATCCAAAGTGTGAGGCACAACAGAAGGACCTCCAATGCCATGGAAAGTATCCAGGTGATGGTGTACAGAAGTATGGTATCTCCCACGTAGTCAGTGTTGCACCCATAGGTGCCGGAGAGAACGACTTCCTCTGATATTTGTCGATGAGCCTGAGGCAACCAAGTCTCATCCATAATTAAGACTTACCCACGGAAACATGCATCATGGATATTGCGGCCATCACTGCGTTGGCGGTTCTGATTGTCAAAAAGATGGCAACAAGAAATACCAACATCTTTTTGGATTGCCACATGGCATTCAGCCGAGCGATCAAGATGACTTGCAGGATGTTTTGGTCAAGTCAATATACCATGGAGGTGTATCGCTCACCACCCAACATTACATCTACGACTTCATTCGTACTTTCCAGTGTAATGTACATGATACGGCCTAAAAAAACAGCAACATTAATTATCAGTCTCGGAATATCACATGCTCAAAAGAAACTCACACCTGTAGTAGTCGTTATTTTGAATCAAGAAGTTGATCGAGAATGTCACTCACCCCTACATGGAAGTTCAACTGTTTAGGCGGGAATAGAAGCCACCGGCAAATAACACTCACTGAATCTGTTAATGAAATTGTCGGAATATTAGCTGTATGCCGCCAGTCAGAAGAAACGAACACGGTGAATGTCAGACGACATACTCAGCGTCTTGAGGCTAATTGTGAGAGATCATTGATGAGTACAATGCCAATTTTCTAGCCTTTCATACATACATAACATATCCTATTCCAATATAGCGTATCTAGGAAGTGTTCACGTCAGTGCGACTTGCTAAGTATCTAAACATAGCCCATACGCTGAGATACAGAATGGCCATCAAGGACCGACGTCGCCTCTGTCGCGAATCAGACATAGTTTGAGGAGGTCGAGATTCGCTTACCCAGAATAGGTCAACCTATTGAACCATTCTTAATTAGCGAGATGACTGCATCAATAATGAATAAACCTGCATACCTCTTGTCCAAAAGTGAGCGCTGAAAACAAGTGCGATAAGGATGAATCAGCGGTTCTTTCATACTCAGTCTTGCTCACCCCAATCGTAGATTACACCGACAGAGGCGGCAACTGTGCAGTCGCAGTCAAGGTTAATCAATTCGTCTCCATCATCCTCCATGTATCTCTCGACGAACCTGTAAAATAACTGAATATACGATATGAATTGATGGATGGCCACAAGCTGGGATCATTCGAGACTAAGGTCATAGCGTCAGAGGATGGGAGTGAGGGAGCGGTGGCAAACTTGGTGGGTGAAGTTCGTGATTGATATACCACCCATCAGTTGGCGCTTGGGTTGCCGAAGTGAGTATTGACTGAAACAAGTATTTGAAGGGGCGAGGGAATGTGATACCAATGCGATCATGAAATTGTTAGAGTGGCAAGGCGCCAAGCAGTGAGCGTTACTAGTGTTGGGGGGCAGAATTTCACCATCCTGCCAGATGGCAGGGCAGAACTAGCACTGCCAGGCAGATGATATGATCTCCTGGGTGGAATGTGGCAGGATGGACAAGTTGGAGTGCCATCACCGTTGGCAGGGTGTGGTTTTGCCGACACAGGTCTGAACAGGACCCTCCTTGAAATCATTCTAACTGTTTCTTCTAAGTGATTCGATCAAGAGTACACGTCGTATTTGGGTGACTTATGCACAGAAGCGAATAGTCCGAGTCGCCGTCTCACAAAAACAGCGGTCCGGAGACAGTAGGTACAGGTTTTACAAAGATATATATAAGCAGGGGGCCGGTGTGCTCAGGCACCAAACAATATTACATAATATTAGCTTTCTTAAACTTACCTCCTAGAGTCATGATCGCGGCCTCCATGTTCCAGCATTATACGAACCTGTTCGACTCACATCAGACCTGGGAACACCAGATATTCATCATGAAATCAGTTTCGGAAACTTCGGACTGCAAATGCCAGTCGCAGGCGCATATTGGTCCGTCCACATCCATTCATGACAGTTCAAATGCTTATCACGGGCACCTCATAAGACGGCCCCCGCTAAAACTGTTACTTACAAATGGCGTTCGCTGTCAAATATATCAGTCATCCTCTTTGCGCTTGCTTACAATGTCGAGTTCCGCTTTGCCTTATAGTCTAACAGGTCCCTCAAGTTAGGCTTCGGTCGTACCATGTTGACAAAGATATCCGAGTCAGGCTCTTTCACCCAGCCCAACGATGCTGCTACCATAAAATCCGACGCGTCTGCCTCACAAGTTGCCGAAGGTGACCCATACCTCGTCGTCCTCGAGCCAGAGGATAATCCGCAGAACATATCCTTGTTCAGACGCTGGCTCGCCGTCCTGATCATCAGTTCCGCCTCTCTATGCGTCACGTGTAATTCTTCAATTGTAAGTCATTTTATCTCCCATTTTTCTCAATATTAATTGTCCTCCAGGCTGCGTTCACAGAACAGGGTGCAGCTCAAACATTCCACGTCTCAAAGGAAGTGACCATTCTCGGAATTAGTCTATACGTCACAGGTCTTGGAATTGGTCCGCTCCTCGTTGGCCCCTTGTCCGAAGTGTATGGTACGTCCAATATCTTTATCCAAAAGCATACTCTCATGGAGTTGGGCAGGCAGAAATATCGTATATCAAACATCTTATGCGTTTTTCTTCATTCTAACATTCCCCGTGGTGTTCGCTCCCAATATCGGTGAGTTCATTTCATACTAGAATACATGATGGATCTACAAACCGAACAACAGCCGTTTTCTTGGTCTTTCGCTTTATCACTGGATTCTGTGGAGCAGCCTTCTTAAGTGTAGCTGGAGGCAGTGTGAGCGATATGTTTCCAAATTCGAGTATTGCAAGGTAGGTCTTTGGATTTGCGTTCTGTTCGATATTTTGCTGAATCACCCGACAAGTCCAATGGCTGTGTATACCATGTAAGTTTGCTTGCGCAACGTTAGCAGCCACATCATATTATGGAATAACTGATAATATCGAAGATCTCCATTTATCGGACCAGTGGCTGGTCCCTTGATTGCTGGGTACATTTAAATTCTCGATGCTCCCTGGCAATACTGTTTCTGATATGACGTGTTAATGTAGATTCATCAATCAGGTCAGACTCGTTGGTCTGATGGTTTGGTCTCATTTGACATTTCTCTGACAGCACCTATACTGGGAATGGACGTATCGAGTGCAGTTGTGCTGGATTTTCGTAGAGCTCCTGATGTTAGCTACAGTGGGTTTTGCATCTCTTTTGTGGGATGGATGGATTGACTTATGAATCGAATACAGTTGGTCCCTGAGACATATGTCCCAGTGATCCTGAAGATGAAGGCAAAAAGGTAGGAGTGCATGTCCTCTTTTTTCTCATTTTTGCATGATTGCTTGACAGACTGCGGGAGTCGACTGAAGACTCGAAGTTTTACGCTCCTTTGGATAGACGGGAAGGCACCCTTGCTTCTGCTATCCTCGTCAGTTGCTGCACACCTTTTCGTAAGTCATCAGAGATCATCTGCGCTCCATCACAAGTAACGATGTGTCACCTTCACTAGAATTACTTTTATTTGACCGAATGGCACTACTTCTAGACACCTGGTAAGGGCAATACATCTCATTGACTCTCGGTGTAAGTACTGAACATTCCAGGACTGCCCTTCTTCTTGGAATCCTATACCTGGCATTCCAAGCATTCCCCATTATTTTCGGAGACATTCATGGATTCAATATGCAAACCACTGGACTAACGTTCATTGGGATTGGACTCGGGATGATTTTGGCCATTTCTATACAACCGCTCTGGAACAGGCAAGTCCCTTTTTTCTAGTGTTCAGCGTTAATATCAATATCAATAACGTCCTTTCTAGACTATATGCCCGTGAAACGGCTAAATACAACGGTGATCCACCTCCTGAGATGAGGCTTATCATGGGTCAAGTAGGAGCGATCCTCGTGCCAGTGGGTCAGTAACCAGTAGTTTTTGGTCGCGTAATGCTTACCGTGTCTACAGGTCTGTTCTGGCTCGCGTTCACTACATATCCACAAGTCCACTGGATTGCCCCGATTATCGCGTCTGTACCTTTCGGCTCCGGGATTTACTTTGTTTTCACATCAACGTTCACGTACCTTGTCACCGCATACCGCCCAATCGCTGCTTCTGCCATGGCAAGTAATAGTGCATTGCGGTCAGCATTTGCCGCTGCATTTCCCCTATTCGCGGGAGCCATGTATGATAAACTGGGGACTGTTGGCGCCACCGCTCTTTTGGCCGGCCTCGCAACGATCATGACTCCATTACCGTGAGTGAAACAAACAGCAAGTGGTATAGAAACATTGATCCTAACTTCTGATCATCAGTTTCGTATTTTACCGAATTGGCGCGCGATTGCGGAACAATTCGCGTTTCGCAGCACATTGATTCCCTTACACGTACGACCTATATTTCTGGACGATGCAGCTTCAACGCGTCGCGCGTCTAATCAACGTAATCAACACATCGGCGGCGGCGACTTGTAAGTATTACCGTGCTGGAAGTGAATCGATATTATACAGCATTATATATATATATATAGCCCCAGTTTCAGCCGATGATTTTGCGAGCTCGAGATAAGAACACATGTATTCGTCCGGTGATAATGCTATGCATGTCGATGCCAGCTCCTTGAACTTGCGGCATACCCTGGACATTATCGTCGTGATATACAGGGGGCTGGGGCCGCTGTTCAACGGCAATTCCTATTTATGTCAACCTAACTATTATCCAGAGACTAGTACTGTTGTCACTTCACACTTTGTCTTGCGGGTCCTCGGAAATGTCACTTGCGATGAAAGGTTTTGGGGATGACCCGTGCTACCAGGGTCGACGACGCCAAATATTCCCATCTCTACAATATAATCCTCCTGTTCATTTGTTCACCGGTTCACTGACTCATAGCCCTTGGGGTCTTATAATTACATGTTGCTGATCATTATGACGCCATGAGAAATGTCATCCATCGGTCTGATGGCGTAGTTGGTTATCGCATCTGTCTAACACACAGAAGGTCCCCAGTTCGAGCCTGGGTCAGATCATTTTTTTCGCGGTCAACACTTCTTCATCCCAGACTAAGTAATCCACAGAATATCATGACATGTACCTCGAGCAGTAGAACAAAAAATTACACGAATTTATGCATAATGACAAATCTAGACATCCGGATTATAAAAACAAATGGCTGAGTGGTGAAGAGAAGAGGAAGTTACATAGGCCTCGACCTCAATTTCCTCATTTCCTGATCACCATCCTCGTCGTAGTGCCTGACAGACCTTGCTCGCACAGGCTGTGCTGGAACAGGTTGCGAGAAGTGGTCCCTCATGCGATTAGTAGCTTGTGTCTGCACCTATCGCAACCATGATCCATGAGGCAAGAAAGGTAACGGAATCGATAGAACACACCTCAGCCAGGACTGTTTTCGAAACCTGAAACAAAGGTCCTGTCAAACCTAGCTTGACAATGATATATCTGAAAAGTGACATATGGTTAAGTAAGGATATTAATCAATAGCAGAATTGAAATTATACGTACGAAGTTACCATCGCCATCAAAGTAAACGTGAAATACAGAGGGTTGAACAACACCGCCATAGCCTCATTCCAGCCGAGTACGACGAGGACGCCATACATCCAGTATGGGATCTGTGCAATGCTCGACACAGTGCTACGTTTCGCTTCGACGTAGTATGCATCTGCATCCTTTCGGAAGCGAGAAGTAAGGTCAAGACACTTCGTCTCGGTGAAGACGATGAGCGTTGAAGGGAAATCAAATTCATCCGTGGAATTGAGGGAATCAGAGGACTCTGAGGGTAGCACGAATTCAAGGGAAGGATCAACGGGAGCGATCTTGGCGTAACGGGGGATGAGACCAATCGTCTAAAACATAATTCCAATGTAAGTATATACAGGAGAAACTCGCAAAGACACGTACCTGGTCCTTAGCTGTCTTGAAGGCCCCATCAATATCGTCATCAGGTCTCCAAACTCGAGGAATAGCATTCTCATCGTAGCGGAAGCGCTCTTCGAAATGAGTCCGAAGCTTGCCGAGGATCACAGCATCAGCAGTTTGCTCGTCGACCTTGGCCCTTAAAACGAGCCAGGCACGTTTTCGCAGGGCAGCGAGGGATGATACATTCTCATCATCCGTGCAGTTGAAGCCTGTATCATACATTATTGAGAACGTGATAGAGAAGGTGAAATAACTCACTTCTCGCCTTTGCCAGATATGTTGACTCGGCCTTCTCGAGCGTTTCTTTGAACGTGCTCAAGACCTTGTCCCACATGTCAGGTGTAGCTTTGTTGAGACTGATGTCGACGGGTTCAGAAATTTGCTTTCTGAAGTTCCTCTATGAAAATATTTTAATGGATATCGAAAACAACTCTCAGACAACATACCTCAATCAGGTTGACCATCTTCTTTGTCTCATCTTTCCTGCACTGGTCAGCCACATTACCAATCTCCTCTCTGAGAGACCCGAGTTCGTCCTGCCACGTCCAGTCAGTGTCCTCCAGCGAGACCTCCTTCGCACCATCTGCGAACCGTTTCTCGCACTTTGTCTGGGCCTTCCCAACCACGTCAGCGAAGTTATATTCATCGCCGCGCAAGCCTTCAAGAAGCTCCCTTTTGAAGGAGCTGAGACATGACCTGTGCAAGTTCTTAAGCTGCCCAAGGAAGAGGGGAGAAAGTGTCGAATCCATAACCCCGAGAAGGTCAGCACGCTTGCGTTGATATACCCCTTGGTGATAGCGAGATGCATCTCGGTCATAGCGGCCTAGGAAATGAAATGTATAAAAACGTATGCAACTTGAATTGAGATAGTATCCTCACTTAGGGCTTGAGATTTCCAATCCCGCATTAAACTACCGAGGCCTTCTACAACGTGGCCTGCTTCGATGGGTCTCCGCTGCGACTTCGACTGTTCTGTGAAGTCTGCGAGTGCGACGGACGATATCTCGTCACACCGGAATTGTGCGAGGAGTTCCTGCTGTGTAGGCAGATCAAGGTCCTTGTTCGTTTGCACTTGTTCCTGAAAATTTTCATCTTTAGTGCGTGATTTGTGGACATGAATATGTCCCTACCCATATGTTCTCCATATAGAACGCCACACCATCAGCGGGAATTCTTTTATGGTAGGCAGGCTTGAAGACAAAGTCATCTCTCGTCTTGTCCACAAACCGTTTCCGTAGCTCTTGGACTTCAGCTTCAAATTTATCTGTAGCCAGTATCTTGTGAGGTAGCGCTGTGAATGCAAGGTCAAAGTAATCCGAAAGTTGACGATCCTGGAGGTCCTGCGGTTTAGAAAGGGAATCCCAGATTTTGTTGAGGTCTGCAGTAAGGGTGGCTTGGAGGTTCGCGAGGGGAGTAACCCCAATATGGTCTCGAATTACGAATAGTAGCAGAGTACGCCCTTGGGAGCTGCACGTGGGAGAACTTGAGGACACAAATATGGATTGACGCTTAATGACCTTACCCATCTTGAGCTTTCTTGCCGAACAGACCAAGGTTGACCTCAAACACGGTCTTGAGAAGACCCATGTTTGCACCCTGGTACAAGCCAACTTGGTGCTCCCAGAGGTTGATGAGGAGTACTTCTGACGAAGCAAGGGAGAAAAGAGCAGATTTGCGTTCAAAGTCCTGAGAGTGGTTGAATGATAAAAACTACTATCAACAAAAACTCATTCATACCTGGTCCTCTCCACGTTCTCGCCCATCCGTGCCTTCCACGTCCATGACCATGACAGACATGTCTTGCCCTCGGCACATCCAGATACCTCAGGCTGAGTGAGCAAGAATACGGGAGTTGACTAGTCTATATATTTACCTTTCGTAGTCTGCTGTCGTCTTGTCTCATCCATGACGTCAAATGTAGTACCAAATAGCCTGTTTAACAGTGTACCTGCCACATTCATCAGTGAACAGCGCTTCCAGACATTGGCATTTCAGTAGCTTACTCTTCCCAGTAGACTGCGACCCGAAGACAGCTACTATGTTATAATTGAAGCCAGCGTCGCGCAGACCCCATCGTCCTATCTGAGATGTCAGGTGGGTTCTGTTGGAAGTAATATAATTGAGGACTCGAATAAAATTCATACATGCTAGGAAACTGACGTGAAGTTCTTCTCATCATTAATGACTTGCAATCGTTCAGAAGTTGACAAAATCTTGTTGCTTTCTGACGTATGACCGTTAATTGTTGGCTTGGTGCTATTAAGCTGTGTAGCGAGTAACGAAGGGTCAAAAGCTGAATGAGGAATTTTAACGGATTGACCGTTGAGCGACATGACTGCGGGATGAAATAGAGTAGGAATGAGTGACAATCAAGGCAAAGAACACGAAGTGTAAGCGTGCAGTCAAACTGACATTGACCGTGACAACGTTTTAAGCGGGACGTTCCAACACGAGCTCTAAAGGGTCTATATTATCACGTGACTGTACACGTATATAGCGGCTTCTTCCGTGACAATATCCTGGTCCTTCTCCATGATCGTCGTCGACCAGACTCTGAAGTAATGAAATGACCTTACACGCCTGCTTGTTGTAGATGCGTTTCACAAGATTTTTTTGAAGAGTGCCGCGGCTGACAAATGACTCGTATATTAGGTAACAAGGAAAGGGGCTCGACGATCTACCAGGACTCCTCTTTCTCTTACTCTTCTTCATTCCACCATGATCATGTTATTTATTCGCGCAGTTAAAAAACACAAGGCCAAGAAGCAGGCAAAGAAGGACAATAAGCAGTCCTCTGACCCTTCTGATAGTAACGATGAACACTTGTCCGCGAAGCGGCCAAGAGCTAAAAGGCGTGCCCAGCGGGCTGCTGCCAACAGTAAATAGTATGTACTCTCATAACTTGAAGCAAAGTACAAATGCATAATGCTGCTTGTAGATGCATCATCGACCATGCTCAGCACACTTCGTCATAGAATCGGCACTCAGTTTAGCAGCCATTCTGACCATTCTAAAAATCGTGATTGGGAACCTGGCTCATGTTGACTCTTGCACGCTTGTGTTTGTATTCTTACACCGGTAGATTACTTTTCCGTCCTTTATAGCTCCATGGATTTGTGGTGTATCTTCTACTTTCATCATCCCCATACATGATACGTCGAATGCATCAACTTCGACGATCACGGTGTTACCTTTTACCTTGCGAAGGAGTATTTCATAACACATGGCTAACGAGCTGAACCGAGTGTACACTGTACTTTTTGAAGTCAGCGACTCTCCCCATTTGGTAACACAGTTTGTTGTAAGCTTCAAGCCGCCTTAATCATATTGCATCAGTCCGTCTCCCCTTAAGCTTCTGGTCCGATTATGAATGTGCATATCAGATTATAATTATGGTGATCATCAACATGCCCGGGAGACAAGAAGGAGATGGAAAAGGTGGATTTGTGATAATTGTGCCACTGGGACGAACCTTGCCTGCTTTGGATCGATTGGCACGCTCTCTGCATTCCAAGTGGTATATCCCGAGAAAGCCACTTCCACCGATGTGGTTCAACATTTCATCTCTTGAACTGAGACTTTCATCTTGACAACATTGGCGCAAATTTGAAGGGCAAGATACATCCTATCGCGGCTTTGCACACTCCATCAGCTCTGATTTACTCCATGCCATCGTCACCTTTGATTCTTAAAATGCCGAGCTCTCGTCGTTTGGCTGCACTGTTCACTAATAACCGTGATTCTATCCATGAGAAGTCTCGCTGTCCAGACGCGAGTCTCTCCAGCCCACTCGTTGGACGCGATGATCCAAAGGACGGAGATCGTGCCGAGTTTCATTCGGATAGCGGCAATAACATCTCGGAATATCTCAATCTTGACCTACCTTGTCCGTACCTCCCTCCTCGTCCTGTATCTTCTTCATCCGCGATCCATCCGTCAAACCATTACCCTTCACCGTCACCATTCGCACATGATGTCGAAATGCGATCCCTTTTGCTCTCCTATGAGAACGAATATCCTTCTCCATCCTCAATTATCGAATCTCCTCTACCAGTTGAATCTGCCCCTGCTATTCACCCAGAATCTCTTTTGGGCCGTAACTACTCCCCTCGATTTCCGGAAGACCACAGGCTCCTCGAGACCTTTGTTCATGATTACCGCCTTTGCGATGAACTCGGCTCAGGTGGATATGGTTTTGTAATGACCGCAGTAGACCGCCAGGAGAACGTTGAGGTCGCTGTCAAATTCATCATTAAAGAAAAGGTCCCGGAGCAGGCGTGGATGGAGGACGAGGTCTGTGGTCGAATCCCCATAGAAGTCCTGGTACTTCATCTCGTAGAACACGAACACATCATCAAGTGTCTTGAATTCTTCGAGGATGAGCTGTTTTTCTACCTCGTGAGTCATGCTTGCGATATGAATTTTTTCCAACCGCTCAGCAAATGCTAGGTTCAAGAGCTTCATGGTTCTCCGTGGCACAGACGCAAAAAATCGTATGATGCTCATTCGCATCCCCCCCTTGATGATATTGTTATCCCGCACTTCAGCTCGCCACCCCCCATATTATCTCCTGCTGCGTCTGAATTTTCGGTTCCGGATTCTGAACCAGAAACTCCCCCGCAGGAATCAGGACATCTCCCAGCCTCAGTTCTCGTGGAAGGATGCGATTCACCTTTAAATGATGACTTGCAGTACCACTCACTTCATCTCACACGCAAAAAATCTACCCTCGAGCCACCTCGTCCTTGCTATACGCGCCGCCCCTCGCATGACCTTTTTGAATGCATAGAACAAACGAAACATAAGCGCCTCTCAGAGAAACAAGCCCGGTATATCATGGCTCAGGTGGTCGAGGCAGTACATTACCTCGACAGTCGAGGAATCTATCATAGAGACATTAAAGATGAAAACCTTGTCATCGACAAAGACTTCAAGGTAGGGTTGTATTTCAAAAAATATCATTTGTCACTGACGGCGTGTCTAGGTCAAACTCATAGACTTTGGAAGTGCCGCAATAGAGAACCCTAACGACCCGTCCCCATACTATAAACTCTTCTTTGGTACTACTGCATACGCCGCCTCGGAGGTGCTCCTTAAGCGATCCTACCAAGCTGCACCCGCCGAAATCTGGACCCTCGGTGTGCTAATGTCATACCTACTGACCGGGATGTCCCCATTCCCCACCGAAGCGGATGCCATTGCGGGACACATCGTCCTATCCGAGCTGCCGGGGAAGGGGCTCAGTGATTCGTGCCTGCATCTCATGAGCAGGTGTCTCGAACCAAACCCTCAGCTACGTGCCAAAGTGAACGAAGTACGCGGACATCAATGGCTGAAGGGCGCTTTGGATGGTTTGTAGCTCTTAGCCTCTTATCCTCTATCGGTCCATTTTCTTCTGTTTACATATACCTCGGTATGAGCACACCGGCTTAGAATACACACCCACTAGTACTCGTGTACTCGCTATACCTCTTCGTCGTATCTTGTGTTTGGATTTGAGAACTTAATGGGGCGGTGACCGGGTAATAGACTTTAAGTAATTCAAATTGACTGCCGAAAATAAAATTGAGACACGGTCTCGTCGACTCTTCCCGCAAAATTTGGAATTCAAGACTTTTCTTCTTTTTTTGCTTCCAGTCTATGTCCTTTGCAGACTAGTGGCTCAATCTGGCTCAATGGCGGAGTTCCGGCTGGTGTTGCACGGCATGTCGGCACGATGATATTAACAATTTAGATTTAGAACGTCCGTTCTAAATTCTAAACCAGTTTCGCAAACGATATTTTGGCGTGGCATGCATAATGATCAGTTCCATGAGACCTCCTCGAGGGGTCCAGTTGGACAACACACTCCAGCGTCGCACGCTTCCCACCTTAGACCGTCTTGACACTAGTGCCATGAATCATATTGGAGACACTCCGAGAGTTACCGCAAGTACTCGTAGGAAATCATTACAAGATATTGTTCGGTATGTCCACTGCCAGTCGAAGTGCAAAGGCCTTACTTACTATATCCAGACATTTTACCCCAGCATGGTTTGCTGTCACGATGGGTAAGTCAAAATAAGCCTACCTATGCGTTGTGTTAACAATATTTATGACCTTGTGTAGGGACTGGCTCAATAGCCCTGCTTTTCCACAACTATCCTTATGCGGGTGATTCTCCAGTAATGCGAGGGTTTGCACTCGGCTTTTTCTTCCTCAATCTCGTGCTCTTTTTGCTCTTCAGCGTCATCACCGCGGCTCGATACATTTTCTTTCCTGGCATCTGGTCTCGAATGATACGACATCCTGTACAGAGCTTGTACATTGGCACATTTCCGATGGGCGCGACTACGTTATTAAACATCGCCAGTAGCGACATATTCCAGACATATGGTTTCGGGGGGAAGCCGTTTGTCTATACGGTGTGGGCATGTTGGTTGATCAACGTTGCAATTTCGATTACATGCTGCTTTGGCATGATTCATGTTATGTGAGTACCGAGTTCACGAACTACGAAGATGAGCTGGAGTTGACGTCAGTCTCACAGGATTACTCTCCAACAACATTCGCTTAAGTCTATGACGACTGTTTGGCTTCTTCCTGTCATAACCCTTGTCGTCGGATCTTCTTCTGGGGGCTTGCTCGTGCAAGCGCTTCAGCTTTATTCCCCCTCCTATGCGTTGCTCACGGCGACGTTCTCCGCGTGCATGGTCACAATAGGTCTCAGCCTTTCCCTTATGCTATTCACGATATACATCCTTCGGCTGGTCGTCTATGGTTACCCCACGGGTGTATCAATCCTGTCCGTTTTTCTTCCCGTCGGTCCTTGTGGACAGGCAGCATATTCGCTTTTAAAATTGGGGTCTTCTTTCCGTTCACTATTGCCTCTCAGTTATGGTGATCCCGGCGGACTGTTGAGGCAACCTAGAACCGGTGAAGTAGTGGAAGTGATATGTATGGTTGGTTCTATGATTCTATGGTCACTAGCGAGTATGTGGATACTCTTTGCAATGCTCGGTCTCGCCCACACCCTCCGTCGGGAACGCATTGAATTCAAATTGGCATTCTGGGGAACTATATTTCCTAATGTGTGTATCTATGGCTTTCAATAGGAGTGCGCTCAATTCGATTTTTCACAGGGAGTGTACGCAAATCTCAACCTTGCGTTGGCGACAACATTTTCGTCGACATTTTTTAAAATATGGGGTTCAATATATTCGGTGGGGACACTGATATTGTGGGTGTGTATCGCCTTGCCTACAATACGGATGATTCCAAGCGGTCGTATATTTGACGCCCCGTGTCTAGAAGAAGTCACATTAGAGGGACTGGCGAGTGACGCGGAGAGAAGCGAAGACGATTTAAAGAACGGAACATGATGTCCGAAAGATTGACACATGTTCAACCATCCCTACATGCAATTTCTGAGGTGAGACATCTTGCAGGTCTAGTTGCCCTCTAGTCACGACATATCGACTCGGTTTGTATCCCAATATTTTTATATAGAAGACTACAAAATATGCCTTCCACCCCCTTTAATCTTTGTGAGCAGATTCCTCTTTCATTTTTCCTAAGATCGCACATGGAGGCCGATGAAAAAATTCGCATTGAGTTGATTATTCCGATTCACCTTGAGTTTCTCTCACGACGGCAGCCGGGGAAAGAGTGAGGACCGCAGTATTGAAAATGTCTCACAAGATGATTAAATCCTTGAAATAGACTTCCACTGTGTAGGTACCGGGCCCCACATGAGCTGTGTTATCAACTTGTTGTGGGAAGCCAAGGGAATGGCAGAGGAAACAATGGCACGGTTGCACTGGCAAAGCTGCGGTGATACTGTAAGGATAGTAGACTCGTGAGTAGGGCTATCATCTTATGTAAGCCCTAGCCTTAACCCTAGAAAATTTTTCGGAGGGACCGCCGTTTCGGAAACTATAGACTTTAGGTATTGCTCGAGCCTCGAGAAGGTTTCATAAATATATACACGTCATTGTATCTATGGCTAGACAGTACGATGTCCACGGCACGGTGCTTCCGATTCGTCCATGCAGCCTGTGCCAGTAAGGCCTACATCAATGTGAATATATCGAATTATGGTATAGTCCGAGTCTAGCTATGACAAGTTTGGTGTCACCAGCCTGAGCGCCACGTCTTGTGGTCCTAGTAGAGCTATGCTGTGCCACCACCTTCTCGGATATCCGCCACGTGCTAAGTGTACTGTGGTCATTGGTGAGTACCCGCACATTGTTCAATTGGTCATATAATCTAACTAGATATTTCCTCGTCAAAACGCAGCTTGTACTTGCTAAAAGGCGGAAAATCGAGGAGCACTTATCCTTTCTTGTTCTGATCGGAGGTTTTCTTCCTACGTCCCATGGTAAATGCTCATAAAAGCCTCGTGAGATGGGAAACTCTAACTCTGAAACATTGATCGGCATAATTTGGATTGTACACCTGGCTTTGAGCTGGCGCAAGCTGATGATACGAGTCTAAAGTTTGAATATGGCAGTTGAGCTCCGAGCTCGATGTTTGATAGGAAAGAGTTGGACGCAAGTCTCGACACGTTCCGCGAAGTCAGCTGTTACAGTGAACCTGGGAACAAACACGTAGAGTACGTGTCACAGTACTGTAGAAACTACTTGTTATATACACTCTGCGTGCACTGCCGATGGTTAAATGATGATTGCCAGTTCTGCCAGTAGAACTTGTTGAAAGATTATAAGTAGATAAGTGCAGGAGGTAGATCAACCTGGACAAACTTCCCATGCGACCACCACCACCGTTACAGCGTTATGGTCACGCTAATTAGACCATATATAGTAATTACTCCCGGCTTTCAAAGGCCAAAATAATACGAAGAACATTGTCAAATGCGAGTGATTGAAGTGAGAGCACAACATCGACAAAATGTGATATTACAGTTGCGAGTACAGTTTGTAGACTACGAGTATATGAATTCAAAGCATAGAAAGCATAATGAAAGGGAAAACTGTTACAAGAACATCTAGACGCTTGGGCCCCTACTATTTTTCTCCTGATCCTCCTCGTATCAGCCCTCGCATCATACCCTTACCCCGACCTCACCCTTGTCATCCTCGTCATCCTCGCATTCCCTTTCGCCCTCTACCTGTCGCTTCAGCAGAGCCAGTACATTTGGCCGGATCCTTTCGCTGACGAAGCATACCCATGCTCCGTTTCACCACCTGACTGATCCTGCGGACAGTCCCCTTGCCCTTACCATCTGGATGGTAACCTACGACACGATGCATGATGCATCCCCTTTGCCCTATTTTCCTTTCTTGATCTCTGACTCGGTGCGCAGTCGCACATGCGACTTATACTTAGATCCGCAGTTGCACGATCGTGCCCCTGCGTGTTTCACTTCTCATTCTGATCTGTGACTCACTTTCTTATCCAGCACGTTCTACCTAGATCGAACGTGCCTTCCTATTATGGTCTTACCCTTTACCGATTGCCTCTCCCGGTAGTACGAGTTATCATCCACTAATACGTCTCCTGTCCTCTATATAAACTCGCTACCATGTACCATATTCCCTAACTTGAATCTACTTGGTTCTTGACCTCCTACTCTCACCAGAGTGATCCTTCTGCCTCGCCAGCAGTCTATATTCTATCTTCTTATCTGCTCTTCGCGGATAAGCCTATAGTCTCGACCTTTGCTCATCGACTTCGTCGACGAACAAAGCCCCTGTTAACTAGTCGGACTTCTGTCCTTCTAATTAACGACGATCCTTACGATTAACCTTCGGGTGTCGTAAGCCTAGGCCGATTTAGCTTATCGTCTCGCACCCGCGTGACATAAGCTACCCGATTTGGACATAGGCGTCAAATCGTACTTGCCGAAGACACGCCAAGTACGACCCCTAACCTTGGGCTAGCCCAAGGACGTCCACAGACCGTTGACGACACAAGCTCTGTTTGAGCGTCGCCAACAGATACCATCCAAGTCGTAACAAAAACAATTGATAGAATGATCATACAAGTAAAGTATGCGCAGTCTGAAGAGGGTGGATAATGCAATGGTCTAATGTAAGTCTAATGGTTTGGTGAAAGCTGATATAATGCTAGGACAACATAGAGATATCAGACATTAAGGACACATATATTGATATTGATGCATCATATTACTTATTGCATCACATGTTCTCAAAATTACATCTAGAAATTATTGTTCCTTTATCAGTGTGCCTCAATGTGCATTTCTTATTGAAATAAGTATCTAGATGTATTCTATAGAACTGATTATACTACACTTTCTGTACTCGACTAATGATTTGATGAAGAACTTAGGCTGCTATCGAGAAACTCAGAACTTATGTTTTGAAACTTTGGGTGGCTGTATTTTAAGGTTTACAAGCTTAGTAATGTTGAGCCCTATATCCGGGATTTGTCTTTTGCCCACCACTTGGATAAGTGGGTGACTTCCCATAGGCTAAATAATGCAGAATATCTTATAATGGACTTTGAAAATCATTTGCAAAAGATAATCTGTATAGAATACTAAATCATAATGCAATTGGAATAAAATAATGTGTATGACTGAGTTTTTTCTTCATCACAACTAGTATGCTCTGGTGAATCACACGGAAGAGACAGCATTGCTCAATGATGAAGAAGATGCAAGAATCACCTTGTTATCTTTGTGCTTTTATATGTCTCCCAAATTGCTGCCATCAGATGCATGGGCAATTCTTGAAGTTCCAAGTCATTGATAGCAAAAAAAACCTGCATTAATATGTTAGCACACACATGTACATTGAGAAGTAAAATACTTAACTGAAGCCTAAAAGATGGACAGTGCCTGTTACTGGACAGATACAGGCAGATTGGAGTCAGCATTGCAGCTGTTTTCATTTACTCTCTTTTCACTTGGTCAGTGCACATCCTCTGTCCCACTTGCTCCCCCCCAGATTTTATTTTATTTTGCTTTGTGTTTGCTCTTGTGAGACAGGTGCACATTATTTTACATGACTTCCTTTTTCTGACTCCTGTCTGCAGCAGTTCCACCTGGCGTTGTTTTTGTATAAATGCCCCTCTGTTGTGGCCTGCGTGCTCAACAAGGCACAGTGCCCTACCCATGATGTTGATCACACTGTTTAAACATACCCAGACTATTATGATCACATTTACTTTCCTGAATTGCATGCACACATCTATGTTAGTGTGTCCTCCTTTTGCTTCTGGCTCCAGTCAGCATTGTTGTTGTCCCATCTCACCTCATGCGTACAATGCAGTCCAGTGGGTCATGATGTCACTGTTGCTTTTGAAGGTTGTTCTCTGTCCATTGGTGTTGATGGTCAGTTTCAGATGTTTTCTCGTGCTCACTTTGAATCTGAGAGGTACTACCATTGTACTGTCTTTGTGCTACTTTGCTCTCTGCCATGCTCAGGCACTATCTGTTGCTCATTGTTGGACTGTTTCACAGTGTGATGATCCTCCATGGTTTCACTACAGCTCTGATCATTTGAGGGAGTGTTTGCAGTGTTTGCCTTTGATGGTCTTGACACAGACTGCACACTCATTTGTTCGCAAAAGTACTGATGTTCGCACTAAATCATCTGCTATTGATGCCATCATTCTTCAATTGTTGAGGTGTTGCACGGAGCTTGCTCTGTTGAATGACCATTTGTTATCTGACAGACTCATCTGTAGCTCTTCTTCCTGCACTCATTCAAAGTCACGCGGTGTACTGCTCTCAGCTCATTTCTGCCACATCTTTGGTGATGACATTGCTGCAGCATTACGCACTCCCCCTCTTTTGCTTAACCTTTTTATTGACCATGTTCCATCCTCCCTCTCCTCTAGCTTTGATATCCCATGCCTATCTGCACCATTGGAGGATATAGCACATCTCCTTCACTCCCTGTCTCACAGCGATGTTGTTGATTGCATCAAGCATTAGTTACAGTGCATCCAGTCCTTGATTGATATATGCACACACTGTAAGGTGTGCAATGGGTTGGCCAATGCTATAAGACAGCATGCGAAACAACTCATCCACATCGGGCCACACCTGTTAGCCATCACGGTGTAGCGATGGTCGCGGTGTTGGGCTCAAAACCACGTATTTCCATACTCACGTCAACACCCGAAACATATGCGCACATGTCCAACACACTTTCGCACATGTCCATCCCATGTCCTGTCCATCCGAACTAGCCTCACTAGGTGTGTAGTTATTCCCGTGCACATTTTCTGACATTTGTACCGCATTATTACATGTCCGCAGCACCTCGTGTCTTATTACATAGGACATCGGACCTGACATATATCGCTACTATCTTCGCCTGTAGTTTTCTGAATTTCTACGTACTTACTTAAATACTCTGTAGTGACCTGTAGCTATCATTATCCAGTAGTTAGGAGCTGTTTCCCGACTCTGCGGATCACCCAGAATATTCTCGTAGTTCTTAGTTGCATTGCAAAATATTACCATTCATTCACCGTCATACTCCGTCACTCGTTATACTCGCGCATACCGCTCACAACCCGACACTCATTATAAAGTTTCCGACTCATTATTGTGAAGTCCGAAAGTCCGAAATCTCGGACATTGCACTTTGGCTTCAGACATTGGATAAGTACCTTCAGACATCATCGGATTACCTTCGGACATCATTTCGCACCATCAGACATTTTGTTATTTGCATTACTGACACATTTTTACTACTAATACCAATTAGCAATCCCTTTAGGATCGAACGCACTTGCTCTGCAAGTATAGCAGACTAGGTCATGCTAAGATCTACCTAAATATTTGTTGTCTAGGTAGTACAATTTCTGCTGAGCCCAGCAGGAATTAGTTTTCTACAACGGGTTTCGCCCTTCTGCCATTTTCTGATTTGTCAGTTCTAAGTGATACAGAGATTGTCTTCACCATACTGCGACACGAGTTTGGATCCACCATTATCAACTGTGTTTCCAACTCCTGTACACCAAAAGAAAAAGACAACACTTGGAGGAAGGCTTACTGCACAGCCATCAAACAAGACATGATTGCAACTGCAGTGGTTGTTCAATTTGAACATGAGCGTGCTTGGCCTGCTGTGGCCCACAAGGATGTTATCCTTCAATGCATTAATGAATATTACAAGGCTTCTCAATGGACTGAACCCCCGGTCTGCACTATTTGTTCCAGATATCATGAAGGAAGTGTGTTAATCCAATTGACGGACAATTTAACATGTTTCAATATGGAATTACTACGACTGCTTGATCCTTACATTATCCAGAGATGTGTTGTTCAGAACACATCTACGTGCTTCTTCTTTGGTCATGACACAATTGATGGCTTGATCATGGACAAGTCTGGCATTTCCTTTGATTCCTTAGATGGCTGTTCTATGTCTTTTCATCTTTGTCCTGATTGCCAATCTTCCTTGACCAAGAACAAAGTTCTGAGACTTGCGCTAGCCAATCATTTGTTTTGCAGATTGTTGCCTGTGCAATTTGCTGACTTGACATGGGTGGAAGAAAAGGTCTGCATGTTGCATTGCATCACAGCTCACGTTACTTGTCTGTTCCAGTCATCAGATCCAACTCAGCCAAGTGTGCACATGAGATGAACACTATCTCTACTGCCACTGTACTTCCTTGTACACCTACAGATGTGAATGGGTTCCTTAGTGTTGTATTCATTGGTCCCGAGAAATTTGATCCCAACTGTATGGGTACCCTTTTCCATGTCCAGAAGGCAAACATTTGGGCCTTTCTTGTTTGGCTGTGCCATCACAACCACCTTTATGCAAACATTCCTCTGGATTCCGCCATTACAGATCTCTATCCCTCAGATGGACCCTTGCCTGGACTTAGTGAGCATGTTTTTGAAGACAACGAGCTCAACGCTGATCTTGTGTTTGGTCTGGAAACAGCTGTATTCAGCAAACATCCAGCTGCCCTGGTGACTGAAAGTGAAGCACCTAGTGTCACCGAGTCACTCATATTAGAGAAGATGGATGTGTCTGATCCTGAGAGTATGAAAGTGTCTGGATGCAGTTTTGTGGCATTGGCCATTCATAATCTTCTCCCAAAAGATGACCTGACCTTGTCATTCACCATGGTGGGCAACCCATTACCGAGTACAACAATTCCAATTTTTTTCCAGGTCTATTCCTCACCCTATTTCCTTACAGCCTAGGTGGCTTTGAGATTAAGGAATGACCAACCGCTCTGGCATTCAGGAACCAGGCCAAGTACTTCTTGTCCATTGCTGACCGCACATTTCGTTATCATAACAGCTTCATCTTTGTTGTTCTCAATATCTGGCAATGTCAACAAGCTCATCTTCATACATCTTTCACTGTTGGCAAGTCCAACTTCAATGTTGTGGCATGTAGACCAACAAATGTGACACCACCTCTTCTTGAATGCATAGCTTATAAGCTCGAACATGAGGGCAAATTGTTGAATCCTTCTGCTGATGAACATCAGGCATTTGAGCTTCTCCAGCAAGTCAACACTCTGTCTGCTCATGTCCCTGGGTCCCAAGCCTCCAAGATTCATGTGAGGAATGAGATTCGTAATTACTATGGTTATTTTGGACTACCACATATTTTTTTTACCTTCAATCCAAGTCCAGCTCATAGTCCCATCCTACAGGTGATGTACAAAGACAAATCCATCGACTTGAGTCATCGCTTTCCTGTCATGCTTAGTGGCTGCGAACATGCTCTTTGCCTTGCCCAAGACCCTGTTGCAGCTGCTGATTTCTTCGAATTCTCTTACCACATATTATTTTGGCATTTGTTCAGATGGGACTTTGACATCAAATGCTCCACACCAAAGGGCAGCATTATCAGGTTTATTTATGCTTTCTATGGCATGAGTGAGTTCACTGAGCATGGTTCACTTCATGGACACTTTGTTGTTTGGCTTAAAGGGGGTTTAAATCTATCCACCATTCATGACTGGCTGTGCAATTCTGCTGAGTATCAAGATAGGTTCTTTGCATTTTTTGAGGCCATCATACATCATCACTTGTCTGATACAGACAACATTGTGGATCCAAAGTTTGAGCCTTGCATGCAATGCCCGCCACATCCTCCTGCTGTTGGTTCCCCTCTGGACATGTTGAAAGAATGGGAAGCAGTTTATGTCACAGAAATCAAACAATGTGGCAAAGTTTTGCAGTGTCACAGGTGTCGTCCATATGCCATAAATACAGAAATGATGGTCACTGTCATTTTTTGTTCCTGCATGAGGTGGTGGAGGCTTCATCTTTCGATGCAGAGACAAATTCAGTAATATTGATGTGTCAGGACAGCACCATGAACTATTTCAATCCATATATTTTGGTTTTTTGCAGGCACAATCATGACATGAAATGCATATTATCTGGCAGAGGGGCCAAGGCTGCCATGTTTTACATTTCAGATTACATCACAAAGATAGATGTTAAGACATATAAAATGTTGTCCTTACTCTCTTGAGCGGTAGCATGTATACCAACTCATGCATCTGCAAGGTTGGTGACAGATGGGGTGAAGAATTTGCTGCACAAGTGTTTGACACAATTTAATGGCTGACATCAAGTCCATGCACAACAGGCTGTTCATTATATTCAAGGTTTTGAGGATAGTATTGCGTCTCATAAAACATCACCCATGCTGTCATCCCTCCTGATATCTTATGTCAAGGAATGTTACCCATGGTTGATGCAATATCCCATGCATCATCATGATCTTGTTTTAAGTACCAGTGATGTTGGACTGCGACGAGTCCAAACAAGTACCTATGTGTATTGCAACGGATATCCAGGGGCAACTCCTTGACACCAATCAAGTCCATCACTACATCCATCGTGCAGATTCTCTTGCTGATATGAATTTCTATGATTTTTGTTGATGTATGCACATTGAGCATGTGAGTCAAAGTGAGAAGAACAAAAATACCTATGAGACTTGACTCAGTGTTCTTTGCAGGCATGGTCTGAAGTCAGAACATCCTTCTGCTAAAACCAACATATTAGTGGAACATACTAATGATGCACATAGTGACGGTGACACAGAAATCGTGCCTTGGGTAATTGAGATGTCTATTTCTCATAAGACCAATGCTATATTGTGGGCTATATTCTGCTTGGCTCATTTTAAACCTTTCAGC